CTCCAGCCTAGTCCTCCAACTCGACATTGAGAACGCGTTCAACTCAGTCGAGAGGAGCGCGTTCTTCAACGCACTTATCGGCTCCCCGCTAGCCCCCCTCATCCCCTTCACACGCTCTTTCTACGCAACACCATCAGCGCTGCTGCTAGATCCATGCTTCAATTCCACGGCACTCACCAGCGGAAGAGGAGTCAGACAGGGGGATCCCCTCGGACCCCTGCTATTCGCGGCGTCTATCCAGCAGCACCTCAGGCACGTGGCAGCGGAGCACCCGGAAGTCACCGTCCTCGCGTACGCAGACGACATAACCATGATTGGACCCGCGACGGCGACGCTAGACGCGCTAAGGGAGCTCACGCCGCTACTAGCACAGGATGGCCTCACCTGCAACTTTATGAAGTCGTCGGCGTGGTCCTCCATGCCGCTTGGAGGTGTCGTGCTCCCTGAAGGCCTCCCCCACACCCACGAGGGGGTACGGGTGTTGGGAAGTCCTGTGGGGTCGCAGAGCTTCTGCTCTGCCTTTGTCCGCAGTACCCTGACAGACGCGGCAGCCCCCTTGGGTTCTCTGGCGTCCATCCACCCACAACATGCCCTCCTGCTACTGTCCCGTTGCATCAGCCGCAGAATCGGCTACCTGCTACGCACTACCCCAGCAGACGTCTTACCCCTCTCGGAATGGCACACATGGTGCTCCGAACTACTGCACACGGCCTTGACCGCCGCCAGCATTCAACCGCCACGCCGAGAAGCCGAGTTCAACTTCCTGCTCCGACAAGCAACTCTTCCAGTCGCCCTGGGCGGGCTGGGACTTACAGACCCCACAACAGAAGCAGCACCGGCCTACCTGGCATCAACGACGGAGGCGCTACGACTGCTCCGCTCCCTTGACCTACCAGCAACCGCGGCACTGGGGGCCAACAACAACACCCTGCAGCCGTCCGCAGCGCACTCGGTAACCATCCAGGACATGGAGGGGCGCCTGCCACCGCTGGCGCTACAAAACCTCCGGGAGGAGCAGCAAACCCCGTCCCAAGACCAGCTGCAACGCGCCCTCTCTCAGGAGGTGCACGCGGCAAAGGCCGACGCCTTGACAGAGGAGTCACGCACCATCCAGTCAGCCCCCGAGATGGGTCACTCACTCCGCCTCATCAGCTTGAGAGGGGAGGGAGCGGGAGCATGGCTGCAGGCCCTACCTTTGACCCCGGACCTTTGCTTCTCACCGGGACAATTCCGAGCAGCCCTGGCCTTCCGCATGGGCATCCGACAGAATGTACCCACTGTGTGCGAGTGTGGAGAACTCGTAGCCGACTGCAGCCTACCCAACCACCTACTCCGCTGCAGCACAGGCCCCGACAGGACACGCACACACAACCAGCTAGCTTTTGCCGTGGCTAAAATGGCAAGGGAAGCAGAGCTGGTGGTATACCTGGAGAACGCCATGTACTCACCGCCGGATGACCCGAAGAAAGCCGATGTGATTGTACGCGACCCGAACAGTGGAGAGACTTGGATCACAGACACCACTATCACAGACCCCGTGCTGCAGAACCGGGACCCCACAGCCCGCAAACCCCCAGGCTGGGCTGCTAGAGAGGCACAGAGGCGGAAGGAGAGGGAGTACTACCGACACACGGAACACGTGGTGTTCTGCGCCCTAGCCGTCGAGACCTACGGGGCAAACGCGCCCACCACGACTGCGTTCCTGAAGCTGCTGGCCACAGCAGCAGCTAGGAACCGGTTCAGGGCCAACCCCTTGGCGAAATCGGCCAAGAAGATGGCCTGCCACTTCAGCCAGCGCTGGTCAGTGGCCCTCCAGCGCTCCCAGGCGAATGCCCTGCACACCAAGGCCAGGGCTGGGATCGAGGCAGCGCACCCCCAGATGGCAGCGGACCCCTGGCCGCTGCACCTGGGGGACATCCTCCACACGCTGGAGGGCTAGAGGGTCACTCAGGGGGGGGAGAAGAGTGGTGAGTTTTGGGGCTTAAGGGATGGAGGTTATCATGGATAGCACCGCATGTTTGTACCCCTGCTGAATTAATACAAAGGACCGTTTGAGAGAGAGAGAGAGAGAGAGAGAGAGAGAGAGAGAGAGAAGGCCTTAGCATCCAGCCCTCTCCCTCTTCCCTCTGCCCTCTCCCTCTGAGCCTATTTAAGGGGCCCTCTGTGCCTTCCCTGCCTCATTGCTTCGTGGGCGTTTCATTTTCGGCGGAGAGAGAGCGAGAGAGAGAGAAGGCCTTAGCATCCAGCCCTCTCCCTCTTCCCTCTGCCCTCTCCCTCTGAGCCTATTTAAGGGGCCCTCTGTGCCTTCCCTGCCTCATTATTTCGTGGGCATTTCATTTTCGGCGGAGAGAGAGCGAGAGAGAGAAGGCCTTAGCATCCAGCCCTCTCCCTCTTCCCTCTGCCCTCTCCCTCTGAGCCTATTTAAGGGGCCCTCTGTGCCTTCCCTGCCTCATTATTTCGTGGGCGTTTCATTTTCGGCGGAGAGAGAGCGCGAGAGAGAAGGCCTTAGCATCCAGCCCTCTCCCTCTTCCCTCTGCCCTCTCCCTCTGAGCCTATTTAAGGGGCCCTCTGTGCCTTCCCTGCCTCATTATTTCGTGGGCGTTTCATTTTCGGCGGCTCGCGCCGGCGGCGTTCGGCCGCGCGTTCCTGGTGGCAAAACACAAAACGTGGGTTCGGCTTATAAAGGGCACACACACACACAAGGCAAGGAGCTGGGCAAGAGCAAGAGGCGCGGCATGCAATTCTACACGCGGCGGAGGCCTACATCGTGTACGGCTTCGCCCCCTCCACCTCAAGCATCGAGCGCATGCACGCCGATACTGCAAGAAGGAGATGCGCCGTCGACTGGAGCGTGTCCAAGGGGGTCCCGGCTTGAGCAGCCCCTACAAGATCCCCCACGTGGCGGGGGAAAGTACGGGCTAAGGGAGCTACCCCGGCGGGCGCATCCGACACGGGTGCCAACGGCGACTCGAGCGATTCTGCCAAAGTCACGCAGGATCCTCGGGATCCTGGACCGAAACTGCTCGGAAAGCTCCGCGTGGCCCCACACACCGCCAGTTGCAAGTTCGCCACCACCTCGCACGCCTCCGCCAGATTTAGAATCCGGCACATGGTCAGCATGGGGTCTCTCCCCGCGCGAGTGGGGGGAGGTGCAGTCAGCGCTTCGCGCGGAAACGCCGTCGGCCAGCCAGGAGTCCGGCCAACAGACAAGCGCGGCGCAGAGAAGCCGGGGACCTGACGGGGGGTGCGGAACTGAGCCCTCCCCTCACGCGCAGGCTGATATTCGCGCAGCGTCGGCGCGCGCAGAGGAGCAACCTGGCCGGGGTCCGCGGCGAGGGGGGGACCGTTGGTCACCTCAATGTGGACGTGAGTCGGCGCCCCACTCGCCCGGGCCTGCCTCACCACCTCCACGAACGTGTTTGCGGCGCGATCGAGGGCAGGATCCGGCTGGGTGCCATTCCCGCCTCGCCCTCCGCCATTCCGCCGGCCCCGCCGTCCCCCGGAACCAGCCGAATGTGGACGCGGGGGGGACTGCTCGCGGCGACCCGAATCCCAGCGACGCCCAGGCGACCCCCTCCCCCGCGTCGCCGGAGATCGCCGCGGAGAGCGTTGCGCGGGGGATCGCGCTCGGGGTGAGCGCTGGCCTGCCCGACCACGAGGGGACGGGCGGCGAGGAGAGCGAGGACGTGCAGGGGAGCGCTGATCCCCCTCCCCGCGCTGATAGTGCTCGCGATGCTCAGGAGAAGGGCGGCGAGGAGAGGGCGGCCGAGGAGGCTGACGAGGAGGCGAGCGCCCGCGCTCATACCGCGGCTGACCGTCCGGGCGGTTCGACGCAACACGTGCAGGCGCCCACGAATACTCCGGCGAGGTGGGGCGCGCGGCAGTCCGATGGGGAAGTGTTTGCACCCGCTCGAAGTGGCGGACGGGCTCGCTTGCGGAGGGGTGCGCAAGGAGACGCGGACGAGGCCCGGCAGGCGCAGGCTCCGGCAGCGCGCTCTCCGCGGAACCCTCCAGCTCCGGATCCCGTCTCGCGGATGGGTCCATCACCCCCGATCGTACCGCAGCCGACGCCAGCGCGCCGACGAAGCGAAAACGAGACGGTCGCGGCGTCGCAGACAGGGAAGAGCAACGCGTGGAATCCGCGTGGGACGCGGCAGCCGCCGCGGACGACGAGGTAACGAGAGAGGACGAAGAGGTGGTGGAACACGGGGTTCAAACAGGCGCCGCACTGGTGCAAGCGGCTACGCGAGAAATGCGGAAAGGCTGATGCGAAACGGCGCGGAGGGCGGCGAGGAACCGCTTAGCGAGGAGGCAGAGGAGGAAGTGGAGAATGAGGAAAGTGACGAGGGTGACCCTGCTTTTAACCCTGAAAGAGAGGGGATGTTGGGAGCAGAAGCTGAGGAGGACGAGGAGGAGTTGGAACTTTTGCTTCGGGGAGGGGAGCTCCCCAGCCCAAATGCCCGAGGCGAACCTGCCAACCGGACCACAGCTCAGAACTGAGCCGCGGGGGGAAATCACGCAAGGAGGGGAAATCGAGCCGCGACAGAGACTGGAGTTGACTCTGCGACAGCCAATGAGAATTCAACAGCCCCAATTCCGACCCCCCCAATGCTCAAACCCGACGACCTGGCGAAAAATACTGACCTGTTCGCCCAGGTTGCTGACTGGGACATTGGCCCGCTGCGCGACAGTCGCCAACCCCCAGCCGCCCGCCACCCTCCAAAAGACCTTCGCGAGTCTTTCGCGATTTGCCTGCTGACACCTTTACTCCACCTGGCAGCCAACCCCGAGTCAGAACCTGGCTGGATGTTACTCACCTTCCTCCCTCGCCTACTTCTTCGCTCCTCGTCAGCTCGTAAGCCTGACTGGAGCGCAATGATGAACAGGCTCCTGCGATTTCGCCAAGGGCTCTGGGCCGGCCTCTACGAAGAAGCTGCCGAATCGATCTCCCTCCCCCCGCAGCCTCGCCACGCACCTGACACAACTGGAATTCTCGCCAGAGCGGAGGGCCTGGCGAAGCGTGGTAACCTCTCAAAATCGTTGCAATCCCTGCAAGCCACGCCCGTGTCGCCTGCCTCACCTGAAGTTCTCGAGGCCCTCAGGACGAGACACCCACCTGCATCCCAACCGCTACCTGAGTGGCTGCACGCTGCCACAGCGGAAAACCCTCCCGCTATCGAAGCCCGCGACTTCAGAAGGATCATCGCCAAGCTCCCCAATGGAGTGGGGGCGGGCCCCTCAGGAACTACCTTCGAACATCTCCGTGATGCAGCACTAGGAAACGCCGAAGTCTTCACCCACCTCCTAGCCCTCACCAACACGGCTCTGGCGGGGAAGCTACCAGCCGTAGCGGGAGAGCTACTTACCGCCTCTCGTCTTTTGGCCTTCACGAAACCGCACGGTGGGACGAGGCCGATCGCGGTTGGGGAATGCCTACTTCGGATCATCGCCAAAGCCGCTCTTTTCCTGATCACGCCCGCTGCTAGATCTCACTTCGTCCCCCTCCAGTTCGGCGTGGCGGTAGCGGGGGGCATTGAGGCCGCTATACACACGACACGTACTTACCTGGAGGTCCATCCCGCGGCAGTAGCGCTACAGATCGACCTCGCGAACGCGTTCAACGCGGTCGAGAGGAGAGCGGTGTTCGAGGGGTTGAAAAACGAAGCGCTCGAGAGCCTCACCCCCCTGGTCCGCCTGTCTTACAGAGTCCCCTCCTCGCTCTTCCTCGACCATGAGTTCGCAGCGGCTCCACTGCAAAGCGCCAGGGGGGTCCGCCAAGGTGATCCCCTCGGCCCCCTTCTATTCGCCGCCAGCATCCACCCCTGCCTCGTTGCGACGGCAGCGGCTCACCCGCAGGTGGTCCTACTCGCCTACGCCGACGACATCACGCTGCTCGGTGATGCGTCCGCCTGCGCCGCGGCCTTCGACCACCTCACAGCCGCGCTCGCCTCCATGGGGCTCCTTCACAACCCTGCTAAGTGCGCGGCTTGGTCCGCCGCCCCAATTGACCCTGCCTCCGTCCCCCCCGGCATCACCGTCTCAACCGAAGGGCTGCAAATCCTCGGCAGCCCCGTCGGCACAACGCAGGGCTGCGCCGCGGCAGTCAGGGACAGACTTACGGCAGCAGCTGAACCGCTCCCGTTGCTAGCGCAAATGGACCCGCAGCTCTGCCTCCTCCTCCTCACACGTTGCGTCAGCCGCCGCGCCTCCTTCCTGGCAAGGACAACCCCGCTGGAGGTCCTGCCCACAGCAGAATGGTCGGCATGGGGGGAGCGGCTGCTCCACGCGTTCCTAGAGGCCGCGCACATTGTCGCGCCAAGGAGCAACGCGGAAAGGAGGCGTATTTGGCGGCAGGCAGCGCTCCCCGTTACCTTGGGGGGTTTGGGCATTACGGACCCGGCCGTGGAAGGGAGTTACGCGTACCTCGCTTCGGTGGTCGGCGCGGCTCACCTCCTGCACTCGCTAGCCGACTCCCTACACCCCGCCATAGCCGCACTGCTCCCCCTTATGGACTCCGCCCCGGACTCCGCAGCGGCCCTGCCCTCGCGCCTAGCTGCAGCTGAAGCGGCCCTGCCCCCTGACGGCTTGGAGGCCCTTCAGGCTGGTAAGAGCGACCCCAAGGGACTGAAGCTCCAGCAGTCCCTGGCCCTGGCGGTCCACACCCGCCGCTACCTCCGAGTGCTGAACACGGCGCGGCGTATGCGCCCAAACCCCCTCTCAGGGCATGCTCAGCGGATGCAGTCCCTGCTGGGCCCGGGAGCAGGGGACTGGCTGCTGGCAATCCCACTCTCTTGTGCGCTGAGGCTGGGCCCCTCCCAACACTCTACTGCTTCCTCCTTCCGCCTTGGCCTCCCCCTCCCTGTCCCAAGGCGGTGCGACTGCCGATACCGCACCACCTTCCCTGATGACCGCCTCCCGAATCACCTTATGCGCTGCGAGAAGGGGAAAGGGAGGACTGCCACACACCATGCTCTCAGGGATGAAATCGCAAGGATAGGGGTGGAAGCAGGCTTCACGGTTCACAAGGAGACCTATGCCTACTCTCTGGTTGTAAACCTTAAAGCGGATGTCTCCATCTAAGTTGGAATATACGCTTAACACCTTAAGCGTACAGCGTATGTACGCTAGCGTACAGCGTATGTACGCTAGCGTACATACGCTATCCGCTATACGCTAGCAAATACGCTATACGCTCTTAGATTTTTTTTAGGGCTGCCCGAAAAAAGAATCGCAAAAAAGATGCGGATTTCCTAGGTGAGCATTTCGCCGTAGTCGAAATTCAAGTCCGCAGTGTAGGCAAACGGGGATCTGACTTCGAAGTCGTCAGGCAAATGTTGGATTTCAGATCCCATCTAGGCATTGAAATCCATCCCTTCTACCGCATTGAACCCCACTCTATCTACAAACTCCAACCTGTCAAAATTTCCCAAACAACAAATCTCACGGTACTTACCAGCCAGCCCTGTTGGCTAGCCCTAACTCGTCATTTCGTTCCCGCTTTCACCAGAGTTCACGCTTCTTCGCTTTCTTGCTATTATGGTTACGCCACCTCCAATTGCACTCGTCATTCGGATTCAGGATTATGCAAGGGCAAGCCTTAGTGAGAATAGGGAGTACTTTTATTTCACCCTGCCCGGAACGTTTTTTCTCTGCCCGAAAAAGCGTTTCTCCAAACCGAACCCCTAAGCGGATAGCGTGTATACGCTAGCGTATATACGATACGCGAATATACGCTGTACGCGTATATTCCAACTTAGGTCTCCATCCGCCATCCCCTGACCGGAGAAGTGTGGCTTTGTGATGTGACCGTGACCGACCCGGTGTCCTACCAGGACGAGAACTGCAACTGCGCACCTGGTTGGGCGGCTAGGGCGGCAGCTGCTCGGAAGGAGGAGAAATATGCGGGACGGAACGCGTGGGTGGGGTTCCACGCCTTGGCCGTGGAGACCTACGGCTACCCGTCGCCGGGGGTGCTGGCTTACCTGCAGCAGTGCGCGGAGCTGGCTGCGAAGCTCCGCTACAACGCGGCCCCTACCTCTCGAGAGGCTGCCAAGCTGCTGACGGAGTACCGCCAGCGCTGGAGCGTGTGCCTCCAGAGGGCGCAGGCAAACGCCCTCCGCACCAAGACCAATGAGGCCCTGGAGGCGGACGAGCTCAGCCTGCAAGGGCCGTGGGCCCCTCTCAACGAGGGGCAGCTGCACCAGCTGATTGAGCCCCCGTCCGACCACTAGGGTCGGACAGCGGGGGGGGGGAGGGGAGTAGGTGATGGTTGATAGGCCTGCTTGTTTGCCTAGTTTGCATGTGTCAGCTTCAAACCTTTGTACCACCCTTCAGCTAATACACGGACCATTCGAGAGAGAGAGAGGGTGTAGCATAGAGTAGCAGTGCATTCATGCCATGCTCGCGTCTCTCTCTTACCTAGTCCCCCCTCGCTGCCTTATCTCGCTGCCGTGCTGCTTTTGGTCCACCGTTGCCATGCGCCTTCCCCTCCCACCCCTCCCCGACCACTCACTTGTCGTTCCGCTCTGCTCACCATTCACTGCATGCTTGCTTGCCGTTTTCCGCTTTTGCCACTTGCGTACCCCCTGCTTGTCACTTGCCTTCTCACCTCAACTCTCTGCTCCCTTAACCTGATTCCCTCTTCTCCTCTCTTCCTGCCTGCATCCCCCCACCAGCGCATCTACTGGGCGGCAGCGGCAGGGAGCAGGGAGGAGCAGTGGGAGCAGCGTGGAGAGCGGGAGAGGCGAGCGGTGGGATGACGCACGGCCTGGGCTGGCCCTGCTGACCACTGCTGCTGAGCTGCTGGACTACTGCTGCCTGGAAGGGCTGCTGCTGGCCGCGTCAACACCCCTCTGCTCGTCACACGGCTAATTTCCCGCTAAGTTCCCTCCTCAACCCTTGCCATCCTTACCGCCGCTTTGCCCTGTAATTCGTGTTCACAATTGCCCAGCCTCTCTTTTCAAGCATGCTTCGAACCAAAACCACGCCTTCGCATGAAGGTACTAAAAACGTTCGCGTGGCGATGGTAGCACATGGCACTGGGGCGGCTTGAGCTCACACTAGAGTCCTAGGGGGTTAGAATGCACTCACACTCATGCCCGCGTCTCGTTTTCGTTGCCTGCTAGCTCGCCAACCTAGTGCCATGAGCTACCATCGCCTACCCTTTCACTGTGCCACCTGTTCTTTAACTTCCAGCATTTACTCTCACAGTATTATGCCTCCGTTTAGTTTTGATCGCGCCCATGCTTGTATTAGACTAACTTCTTCATTTCCTGCCGCTTTCTGCCTTCTCTCCCCTCTCCCACTCGCTCCCTTTTCTCTCCTAAGCTTTCCCCCTCTCGCACAGGGCTGTGGCAGCGTGTTGCGGGGAGGGAGGGCGGTGGGATGACGCACGGCAGGCAGTCACAGCGGCGTGCGTGCCTCCTGCATGTCCTGCTGACCACGCCGCTCCCTCACGCGCCCAGCGACCTTGAGTGCTGCTGCTGGGAGTGTTGCTGCTGGGAGGGCTGCTGCTGTCAGTAACAAGGCGACGAGCAGCTTCTGAATCCCGCTAAGTTCCCTCCTCAACCCTTGCCATCCTTACCGCCGCTTTACCTTGGAATTCGTGTTCACAATTGCCCAGCATCTCTTTTCAAGCATGCTTCGAACCAAAACGACGCCTTCGCATGAAGGTATTAAAAACGTTCACGTGGCGATGGTAGCACATGGCACTGGGGCGGCTTGAGCTCACACTAGAGTCCTAGAGGGTTAGAATGCACTCACACTCACGCCCGCGTCTCGTTTTCGTTGCCTGCTAGCTCCCCAACCTAGTGCCATGGGCTACCATCGCCTCTCTGTTTTCATTGCATCCTTCCACCTTGGTTTCACTTCTGAATTCTTCCGGGTTTGCCTGCCATTGCATCATTTGTCGCTGTCCCGTTGCGCCCTGCGTTTACTCGCTCACTTCCTCTCCCTGCCTCTATCACCTCCGTACCTGCCCCCTCCGTACCCTCCCCTCTCCCTCTACGCGTCTCATCCCAGCAGCGCAAACCCAGAGGGTGTGGAAGGGTGCGATGGAGCGAATGGTTGCTGCTGCTGATGGTGCTGATGCTACTGCTGGTGGCGTTGGCGCATGCAGAGCAGCACTCCAAATGACACTCCAAGAGGGAAACTCGACACAGCGTGGCCCATCCAGCACTCGTTTCTCATTCATGCATTCATCCGTTGTTGCTTCAACACTCCTGTTGTCCCGTTGTTCCCTGCATTTGCTCTCTTATTTCCTCTCCCTTCCTCTTTCACCTCCCCTACCTGCTCCTTCCCCCCCTCCTTCTTCCCATCTCCTTTCCCTCTACCCATCCCCTTCCAGCAATGCAAACTCAATGGGGGTGGAATGGTGCGATGGTGCGGGCGGGTGCTTTGGTGCTGGTGCTACTGCTAACCGCGCTGGAGCTGCTGGTGAGGGTGATGGCGCATGCAGAATGGTACTTCAACTGACACTTCAAGAAAGAAACTCCACATGGTTATGGCTTATCCAACAACTGGTTTTCTCTCTCACTCTGCTGAGAAGCTTCACTGGCTCGACACTCCACTCTGGTGAGCAGCTTCACTGGCTCGACACTCCACTCTGGTGAGAAGCTTCGCTGGCTCGACACTCCACTCTGGTGAGCAGCTTCACTGGCTCAACACTCCACTCTGGTGTGGCTTCACTGGCTCGACACTCCACTCTGGTGTGGCTTCACTGGCTCGACACTCCACTCTGGTGAGCAGCTTCACTGGCTCGACACTCCACTCTGGTGAGAAGCTTCGCTGGCTCGACACTCCACTCTGGTGAGCAGCTTCACTGGCTCGACACTCCACTCTGGTGTGGCTTCACTGGCTCGACACTCCACTCTGGTGTGGCTTCACTGGCTCGACACTCCACTCTGGTGAGCAGCTTCACTGGCTCGACACTCCACTCTGGTGAGCAGCTTCACTGGCTCGACACTCCACTCTGGTGTGGCTTCACTGGCTCGACACTCCACTCTGGTGAGCAGCTTCACTGGCTCGACACTCCACTCTGGTGAGCAGCTTCACTGGCTCGACACTCCACTCTGGTGAGCAGCTTCACTGGCTCGACACTCCACTCTGGTGAGCAGCTTCACTGGCTCGACACTTCACTCTGGTGAGCAGCTTCACTGGCTCGACACTCCACTCTGGTGTGGCTTCACACGCAACCCCACTCTGACTACAGGGCAGCGCCTAACCACAGGTACGCTAACCCCACTCTGACGACAGGGCAGCGCCTAACTACAGGTACGCTAACCCCACTCTGACTACAGGGCAGCGCCTAACTACAGGTACGCTAACCCCACTCTGACTACAGGGCAGCGCCTAACTACAGGTACGCTAACCCCACTCTGACTACAGGGCAGCGCCTAACTACAGGTACGCTAACCCCACTCTGACTACAGGGCAGCGCCTAACTACAGGTACGCTAACCCCACTCTGACTACGGGCAGCGCCTAACTACAGGTACGCTAACCCCACTCTGACTACAGGGCAGCGCCTAACTACAGGTACGCTAACCCCACTCTGACTACAGGGCAGCGCCTAACTACAGGTACGCTAACCCCACTCTGACTACAGGGCAGCGCCTAACTCTGATGCATAATGAATGGAAGCAATGAAACCTTGCAGAATGGAAAGATTTGGATTGTCAAGATAAACTTAATCTGCTGTAACTCTTGGTGTGATACATAGTGCATGCTGTAGGCTGTTGGCTGTAGGCTGTAGGCCGAAGGCTGTTGGCTGTAGGCTGTTTCTCTATGTATGGCACAGGCTGTATGTTGTAGACTGCAGCTCTTTTATGGAGTGTAGACTGTAGGCCGTAGGCTGTTGGCTGTGATCTGTCACTTTACTTGTTTTAGCTTGAAGAATAGAGAGCAGCGGAGCAGAGGATAAAGGAGAGGAAACAGAGGAGGAGAAGAGGAAGCAAGGGAGGAAAAGAGGAAGCAGGGGAGGAGAAGAGGAAGCAGAGGAGGAGAGGAAGCAGAGGAGGAGGAGAGGAAGCAGAGGAGGAGGAGAGGAAGCAGAGGAGGAGGAGAGGAAGCAGAGGAGGAGAAGAGGTTGCTTCTGCAGACGTGGTAAGATCTCCCTTGCAGTTCATTCTTATCGTCCTCCTCCTTTCGTCTTCGCTCGGTTTGGTTTCCATTGCCTCCTGTACTTGCCTTCGTCTCCCTTGCCGCTTGTTCATCTCAAAATGAGTTGTTGATCTGCCACTGTCTCGGATGTTTGGAAGCCTCCAAGAGGGAGCAGAGGGAGCAGACAAGTGGGGGCAGACAAGGGGGAGCAGACTAGAGGGAGCAGACAAGGGGGGGCAGACTAGAGGAGGGCAGAGATGGTGGAGAAGACCCTCTACTCCTGTGATGTAGTAAGTCTCCTCTGACATTTCCTTACCCTTCTAATCCCTTCTGACTTGGTCGATTGATGCTCTGCATGCCACTTACTTCTCCCCTGTCTTTCTATCTCCACATTTGCTTCCTTCGGCCCAATCACTCCTCGGTGCCTACTCGCTTGCTTGCTCCCCTCCCACTCCTCCCTGCATGACTGTACACCTTCACGTTGCTCCACATTTCATTCCCTGGCACCACTCTTCCCTGCGCTGTGCTTTCTTCCATCTGCCGAGGAGAGTAAGGGGGGTCAACACCTCTGCTTGATTCCTCCCGCTTACTCACTACCCGCCTCCTCTCCCATACAGCTGTCGCTCCGTCAGTTCATTTGGGGATGGAGGAGGACCCACGAGCGGAGGTGACAGTCATACAATGGTCCCCACTCTCCCACTACTCTAACACTTCCTCCTTTTCCAATGCAATTTCACGAAGGTTTTGCAGGTTCTCTGGAACAGTGAGGGACAGAGGGAGCAACGGTCAACCAGCATTCGCATGGTACATGGTAAGATTTCTTCCCCATTCAGTGTCCTCTCTTTCTCCTTTATACATCAGCACTGCTTATCTCATATCTTCCCTGTCTCCTCCTCCCCTGCCTTTTGTCCTACAGCCAAGCACAACAGGGGAGTTGCAACAGCAGCAACAGTATCAAGCGGCAACAGGCAAGGGCGAATCAGCTGAGCCCTCTTCCCGTGGTACGTTCATCATCCCTTCCCCAACACCTTTTCATAGTTTTGCACTGTACGTCTTTGCCTCTCGCTTTCCTTTTCTTCATGCTCCTTCTCATATGCTCCTCCTTCCCGGCATTCAAATTTTCAGGCATCGACGGCAGTGGTGGCATGGACGGCAGTAATGGCATGAGACGAACTTCAGGCACAGCCAAGTCAGACAAGGCGGATCATCCTCTTTTCATGGTAAGGCTGCCCAGTCAACCCCCTTCTCCTCTGCCCAGAGGTTCTGATGCCAGCCTTTCTATTCCGTTTTCCTGCTGTTTCCTCCTCTTTGTACCGCCTTCTCTCCTCTACGTTTCACATGCCTTCAATTCTGCCTCTCTCTTTCTTTATGCTTTCCGGTGCCTTTTCCACATACCTTTTCCTCTCGTGTTTCCTCCTTCAGATGCGACAAAACTGGTGCACGCGGAGGAGTAACAGTGTGGCAGTAGTACTGGAGTGCGAGGGCGAACGAGAATAGCACGTGAGCTGCGCCGTTTTTTCTTGTCAAGTTCATTGGTAGGTGCCCTCATCTCCTCTGCACCACACTCGCTGGCGCAAACCCTCGTCCCCACCCAATACTGCCCCATCCAACCCAAACACACATCGTATCACATCTCATTTTACCATGTGGTGAAGCTCATATTGTGTCTGCCGTGCCTCCTCTCCTCTGCTTGCAGGACAACCGAAGCAGTTCCATGTGGAAGCCAAGACAGGAGGATGAAGACCACATAGCTGAACTAGTTTAAAAAGGATATAGGATATCTGGGTTAGGTTAGTAAACACTCTCAGGTGTGGTGTGGTATCCCCCTCCCTCCCCCTCCAATCCCCCTCCCCCTGCATAGGACTCCTTGCATTGCCCCTTCCCCTTCCCCCCCCTGCAACACACCTCCCCCTGTGACCCACCCACCTCAGCAACTCCCCGCGTAGGGCACGCTAACCACGGGGATTGTGCCTCGGCGCACACTAACTGCAGGGATCACTAACTACAGGGATCACTAACTGCAGGGATCACTAACTACAGGGATCACTAACTACAGGGATCACTAACTACAGGGATCACTAACTACAGGGATCACTAACTACAGGGATCACTAACTTCAGGGATCACTAACTACAGGGATCACTAACTACAGGGATCACTAACTGCAGGGATCACTAACTACAGGGATCACTAACTACAGGGATCACTAGCTACAGGGATCACTAAGGGATCACTAACTGCAGGGATCACTAACTACAGGGATCACTAACTACAGGGATCACTAACTGCAGGGATCACTAACTACAGGGATCACTAACTGCAGGGATCACTAACTACAGGGATCACTAACTACAGGGATCACTAACTACAGGGATCACTAACTGCAGGGATCACTAACTACAGGGATCACTAACTACAGGGATCACTAACTACAGGGATCACTAACTACAGGGATCACTAACTACAGGGATCACTAACTACAGGGATCACTAACTGCAGGGATCACTAACTACAGGGATCACTAACTGCAGGGATCACTAACTACAGGGATCACTAACTGCAGGGATCACTAACTACAGGGATCACTAACTACAGGGATCACTAACTACAGGGATCACTAACTACAGGGATCACTAACTGCAGGGATCACTAACTGCAGGGATCACTAACTCCAGGGATCACTAACTACAGGGATCACTAACTGCAGGGATCACTAACTACAGGGATCACTAACTCCAGGGATCACTAACTACAGGGATCACTAACTACAGGGATCACTAACTACAGGGATCACTAACTACAGGGATCACTAACTACAGGGATCACTAACTACAGGGATCACTAACTACAGGGATCACTAACTACAGGGATCACTAACTACAGGGATCACTAACTACAGGGATCACTAACTACAGGGATCACTAACTACAGGGATCACTAACTGCAGGGATCACTAACTGCAGGGATCACTAACTACAGGGATCACTAACTACAGGGATCACTAACTACAGGGATCACTAACTACAGGGATCACTAACTACAGGGATCACTAACTACAGGGATCACTAACTACAGGGATCACTAACTACAGGGATCACTAACTACAGGGATCACTAACTACAGGGATCACTAACTACAGGGATCACTAACTACAGGGATCACTATCTACAGGGATCACTAACTACAGGGATCACTAACTACAGGGATCACTAACTACAGGGATCACTAACTACAGGGATCACTAACTACAGGGATCACTAACTACAGGGATCACTAACTACAGGGATCACTAACTACAGGGATCACTAACTGCAGGGATCACTAACTGCAGGGATCACTAACTACAGGGATCACTAACTACAGGGATCACTAACTACAGGGATCACTAACTACAGGGATCACTAACTACAGGGATCACTAACTACAGGGATCACTAACTACAGGGATCACTAACTGCAGGGATCACTAACTGCAGGGATCACTAACTACAGGGATCACTAACTACAGGGATCACTAACTGCAGGGATCACTAACTACAGGGATCACTAACTACAGGGATCACTAACTACAGGGATCACTAACTACAGGGATCACTAACTACAGGGATCACTAACTACAGGGATCACTAACTACAGGGATCACTAACTGCAGGGATCACTAACTGCAGGGATCACTAACTACAGGGATCACTAACTACAGGGATCACTAACTGCAGGGATCACTAACTGCAGGGATCACTAACTGCAGGGATCACTAACTACAGGGATCACTAACTACAGGGATCGCTAACTACAGGGATCACTAACTACAGGGATCACTAACTACAGGGATCACTAACTACAGGGATCACTAACTGCAGGGATCACTAACTACAGGGATCACTAACTACAGGGATCACTAACTACAGGGATCACTAACTACAGGGATCACTAACTACAGGGATCACTAACTACCGGGATCACTAACTACATGGCTCACTATCTACAGGGATCACTAACTACAGGGATCACCAACTACAGGGATCACTAACTACATGGCTCACTATCTACAGGACTCACTATCTACAGGACTTGTGCACCCAGGCATGCTAACTACAGAGACTCAAAAAACAGGGCTTGTGCACAAAAGCAAGCTAACCACAGGGACTCTATTGCACCCAGAAACACTAACTACAGGGACACAAAATATATGGCTTGCACACCCAGGCACGCCAACTACAGAGACTCTGCACGCAGGCACACTAACTGCAGGTATAGTAAATACAGGGCTTGTGCACCCAGGCATGCCTCTAGGGACAGTAAGTACAGGGCTTGCGCACCCAGGCATGCCATGCTAACTACAGGGACACTTGAGCACCCTCATGCTAACTACAGGACAGGGACACTCAATACAGGGCTTTAGCACCCAGGCACACTAACTACAGGGACACTACTGGTAATACAGGGCTTGCGCACCCAGCACGCTAACTACAGGGACACTAATACAGGGCTTGCTTGCGCACCCAAGCACTTGTGCATCACAGCACTTTAAAAGGGAACAGCAGCAACCACAGGCCCTTTAATCCAATCTATCCACAGTAGCACCTGACCCAAATCAAAAGAACCTCGCACCCTAACCACAGGACTTTCACATCCACAAACTAGGCACCCTAGTTACAAGTGTGTATACATGCAGACACACTAACCAAAGTAAGTTGTGCCAGGGACACCTCAAAACGGAAATGCTGCGAGTCGCAGCCTGCAACTACTCCTTAGTTTTAGGCGTCTTCAAAGAAGAAAGACGTGAGCCAGGGTAGGAGAAGAGTCGAACAGTATTGGCGAATGCTGCTTCTGCTACCTCATCCTTCGATCTGCCCATGCTGCTCGCCACCATCTCACACACCTGGATGGGAGCGGGGGGGGAGAGACAAGGGGGAGAAAGGTGGGAGGAGAAAGAAGGGAAAGGGGAGAAGGGAGACGGGAGAAAGTGGGGAAAACGGGAGAAGCCAGTAGGGAGAATTGAGTAGGGAAGGCGAGATGGGAGGGATAAAAGAGGCGACTAGAGCCATATCTCATGGTGCTTGTGTCATGCGTGAGTGTTAACCATGCATGAGTGTGTGTCATGTGGGATGGGAGTGTGTGGCATGCGTAAGTGTGTGAGTGTGCCTCATCAACAGTGCCCTCTCACCAGGCCAATGGTAGCCCTCACCAGGCCTATGGTAGCTGGTGAATTCAAGGCAGAATCATCGCCACTGCCCTCCACCTCTCCCCTGCCTTCTTCCTCTGCCTCTCCCGACCCTCTCTCTGCCCTTTCCTCTCCTCTCTCCCCCCCTCCCTCCTTCCCTCTGTCCTCTCCTCTCTCCTCTCCTCTCTCCCCTTCCATGCCGCCCCTCTCGCCTCCTCCACTCTCCCCTCGTTGCTGCGCCTCAGAATGAGAATCCCTCCTCCTGCACCCCTCATCCCCACCCCTCCTTGCCTTCCCGTCTCCTCCCCCGCCCCTCCCAGTGCTGCCCTCCCCCCCCTTGCGCCTGGCAGGGGGGAGGCCGTCAGGTGAGTCTGTTTCCAGTAGGAGGCGATCCAGAGGCACCTGGGTGGGGGGTGAAAGGTGAAGGTGGAGGGGAGAGAGAGAGGAGTGAGGAGGGTGGGAGCGAGCGAGCAACGAAGAGGTGGGTCAGGGGGGAGAGGGGAGGCCGTCAGGTGAGTCTGTTTCCAGTAGGAGGCGATCCAGAGGCACCTGGGTGGGGGGTGAAAGGTGAAGGTGGAGGGGAGAGAGAGAGGAGTGAGGAGGGTGGGAGCGAGCGAGTAACGAAGAGGTGGGTCAGGGGGGAGAGGGGAGGCCGTCAGGTGAGTCTGTTTCCAGTAGGAGGCGATCCAGAGGCACCTGGGGGGGTGAAAGGTGCAGGGGGGAGGTGTATGGAGAGGGGAGAGAGTGGGTGAGCTGGGTGGGTGACAGCAGCCCCGTAAGGGACAGGTCAGGTGACAGGTACACGGATTTGAGGGTGCGTGAGAGCAGCCCCCTAAGGGGTGGGTGAGACATATGGTTTGGGAGGCAGATGTAGAGACACAGAGATTTGTTTCTGCAGTGCAGAAGCGGAGGTTGTGGGGAGCATACATACCTGGTGCAGCAGGTGTGAGAGCTTGTGGGGGGGCGAGGAGGCGGAGAGGCGGGAGAAGGAGAAGAAGGTGTTGAGAGAGACGAGCGCTGAAATCATTTCTGAAGGGCCGTTGAATGAATGCAGAATGACTCCTGCTGGGAATGGGCCGTGCTGTGGGGAGGGGGGAGGGGAGGGAGCGGGTACGAGGGGTGGAATGGGAGCAAGGAGGCATTTCTGGAGGGCCGTTCAAGGAATGCAGAATGACTCACCCACCAGAATGGTGGGAATGGGCTGTGCTGTGAGGAGGGGAGGCGTGGAGGGGGGTGGAGGTAAGGTCCAAGGGGTAAGAGTGGAACAAAGGGCATGACAGTATGCATGCAAAGGACAGAACGCGCGTATAATGCTCATATTGCAGCGCATGCAGCATGGCTAGGCACAGTGCTGGGCGTAAAGCGCGTTACCTGCTGCAGGGCCGTGAGCATGTGACCATATGCCTGATCGCAGTGCAGGGCCGTGAGCATGTGACCATATGCCTGATCGCAGTGCAGGGCCGTGAGCATGTGACCATATGCCTGATCGCAGTGCAGGGCCGTGAGCATGTGACCATATGCCTGATCGCAGTGCAGGGCCGTGAGCATGTGACCATATGCCTGATCGCAGTGCAGGGCCGTGAGCATGTGACCATATGCCTGATCGCAGTGCAGGGCCGTGAGCATGTGACCATATGCCTGATCGCAGTGCAGGGCCGTGAGCATGTGACCATATGCCTGATCGCAGTGCAGGGCCGTGAGCATGTGACCATATGCCTGATCGCAGTGCAGGGCCGTGAGCATGTGACCATATGCCTGATCGCAGTGCAGGGCCGTGAGCATGTGACCATATGCCTGATCGCAGTGCAGGGCCGTGAGCATGTGACCATATGCCTGATCGCAGTGCAGGGCCGTGAGCATGTGACCATATGCCTGATCGCAGTGCAGGGCCGTGAGCATGTGACCATATGCCTGATCGCAGTGCAGGGCCGTGAGCATGTGACCATATGCCTGATCGCAGTGCAGGGCCGTGAGCATGTGACCATATGCCTGATCGCAGTGCAGGGCCGTGAGCATGTGACCATATGCCTGATCGCAGTGCAGGGCCGTGAGCATGTGACCATATGCCTGATCGCAGTGCAGGGCCGTGAGCATGTGACCATATGCCTGATCGCAGTGCAGGGCGATGGGGCACAGTGCGTTGGTAATGCCACGCTTGATGCAGTGTCATACCTGCTGCAGGGCCTCACGCAAGTAACCATATGCCTGAACGAAGTGCAGGGCGATGGGGCACAGTGTTTCAATAACGCCACACGTGCTGCAGCGCCACTCTTGCTGCAGCGCCACTCTTGCTGCAGTGCCGTACCTGCTGCAGGGCTGTGAGCATGTTCCCGTACGCCTGAACGCAGTGCAGGGCGATGGGGCGGTGCAAGCGGCGAGCCAGCTGTAGCTGCGCGCACATCACCTCCACCTGCTCCTCCATCGCTGCCCCCCTGCTGCCGCTGCTACCGCTGCTGGCCTTCCTGCTACGATGCAAGCCTGCCTGGGGAAGATGGGTTGAGGTGCAGGGCAGGCGGACAAAAACGGAGAGGTTTGGCCCTTGGCTGCGGTGCAAGTGACCTCCACCTGCTGCTCGCACGTCACCTCCACGTGCTGCTCGCACGTCACCTCCACCTGCTGCTCGCACGTCACCTCCACCTGCTCCTCCGTCTCCGCCCCCCTGTTACTGCTGCCACTGCCGCTGCCACTGCTGTTGCCGTTGTCGCCAGATTTCCTGCTGCAGTGCAGGCCTGCCTGGCGGGAGTGGGACGAGGGGCAGGGCATGGGGGGCATGCGGACCAAGAGAGAGGTCTGACCCTTCAAGGCACAGTAAGTACTCAAGCCGCTATTCCAAGCCGTATCTTCATTCCATTCCGCTCTCCCCCCCTCGTTCCTCCGCCCGCCTTCTCCCCCAAGGATCTTTCTGACTAATAGTCGAAGGCCTGCTACGTGCTGGTGACGCTTTAGGAAAAGGATCAACAGCAGAAAGGTAAAAACGTGGACTGGAGCTGCCGTCCCGCCTCGGGGACTGGAGCTGCCGTCCCGCCTCAGGGACTGGAGCTGCCGTCCCGCCTCGGGGACTGGAGCTGCCGTCCCGCCTCGGGGACTGGAGCTGCCGTCCCGCCTCGGGGACTGGAGCTGCAGTCCCGCCTCGGGGACTGGAGCTGCAGTCCCGCCTCGGGGACTGGAGCTGCCGTCCCGCCTCGGGGACTGGAGCTGCAGTCCCGCCTCGGGGACTGGAGCTGCAGTCCCGCCTCGGGGACTGGAGCTGCAGTCCCGCCTCGGGGACTGGAGCTGCAGTCCCGCCTCGGGGACTGGAGCTGCAGTCCCGCCTCGGGGACTGGAGCTGCAGTCCCGCCTCGGGGACTGGAGCTGCAGTCCCGCATCGGGGACTGGAGCTGCGTTCTGTTTTTTAGTCTGACTCAAATACAGGTGCATGAAGTGCCCACCTCGCCCATGGCCGCGTGGGGATGCGCTGAGAGGCGCTCCTCCAGATGCTGCAGCCACTGGGCCGACCGACAGTGCACGTACCTGCAGGCATGGGGGCGTGGGGGCATGGGGGCATGGGTGCGTGCACGGGTGCACGGGGGGGGCTTGGGGATATGGGGGCATGGGGGCATGGGGGCATTGGGACACGGGGGTGGGCACGGGGATATGGGGGCATGGGGGTATGAGCCATCCGTCATGTGCCATGACTCATGCATCAAGAGCCATTCGTCATGCGCCATGCATGTACGCTCACATACCATGGGTGCAGGCCGAAGGATGGGATGACGCAAGGGTGGGCAGCAGCAATGGCGGCCACAGCATCCCAGTCGCCCTGACGCCCGCCCGTGCATGGGAGCATGGGGGCATGGGAATGGGAGGGCGCGCATGGGAGTAAGAACTTTTGAGCTGACTCAAAAGTCAGCAGCAAAGGCGGCCACTGCATCCCAATCCCCCTGATGCCCGCCCGCGCATGGGAAGCATTGGGCATGGGAGGGGGAGGCGAGGGCGCGCATGGGAGCATGAGAGCAGGAGAATATTTTTCTTGGAAGGGTGGGTGCTGAGGCGGGGGAGGCTATAAGAGGCGTCGGTTGAATTAAATGGCCGCTGCTGACACGATTCCTGTGGATTCTGACGTCACCATTTTTACTGCTGACCTCATGCGTGCCGTTGCAGACCATCCATTGGACGCCCGCGTCGGCCGCGTCGCCCACGATGCGCGCGGCGCGCGCGGCGATGCGCGGGTCCTGCAGATGGCAGTGCGCGTCGAACCACACGGCGCGGCCCGCCGCTGCTGCTGCGGACATCACAGCGAATCGCACGACGCGTTACGTGTGTGAGCGCGAACGAGAAACGGCGATAATTGCGCAGCAAAGTGGATTAGCCGCTAATGAAAAGATGGTAAAAGAGCAATTGGCGGAGCAGTCGATGACGCGAATCGCGGGAGCAATTTGAAGTGGCATGAGCAACGAGCAACGAGCAACGAGCAAGAAGCTCCCACCTAAGCGTCCTCGCTATCTGCATGTTCGCTCTTACCGCGCTGTCAATCCCAACAACACGTTGCGATGTTCTTGTTACAATTTCAAATACGGTAATAATTGGCAAATTTGAGTAGAGCTGAAGCCCGAATCACATAATTCAAACAGCATCAACTTCAGTGACTTATTTCCCCTATTTTGCCAGACCCCAACATATTTAAAATTTGCACGCAAGAGGCTTGGCCAGTTGAAGCCTCCTTTGTGGTAAGACTAGCACGGTATATCCCAATTAACCCTAAAGACGATTGATCATTGGGCTTCGTCGAGGCGCTCAAAGCCCTGGTTGGCATTCCTGCCAAACAGTATCTTCTTCCGAGCATGGCGTTTCCCTGCATAGAATGATGGAGCAAGGCAAGGGGGGTGTTGGGGAGGGAAACAGTCAGCATCAGTCTCATCATTACAAAACTGGGGATAGTGTACAGAACATGGCAGTGTACAGAACATGGCAGTGTACCATGAAGTGTAGTGTACCATGAAGTGTAGTGTACCATGAAGTGTAGTGTACCACCATGCACAGAATGCGAAGCAGTACCTGGCAGGGGGATGAGTCTGGAGAGCACGCCTGTGCTACCTGTGCATGAACCATAGGTGCTTTTGAGGTGTACCACCACCCACCATGCATACAGTGTGAAGCATACCTGGCAGGGGGATGAGCTTGGAGAGCATGCCAAAGGGCACGCATCCAGCCCCCAGGGCGAAGCAGAGCGCCCACTGCAGCAGCGTCAGGCGCACACAGCCCGCGAACTTGCCCAGCAGCTCCACCAGCAGCACCTGGAGAAATGTAGTGAGGGGCAAGAGAGAGGAAGAGCAGGAGAGGGGGAGAAAAGGGTGGATATTTTTAGAAAGGACCTTGGCAGCTCCATCGGGAGCACCTGGGGGTTGGAGTGTGGGGCAAGAGAGGATGAGATAGAGGGGAGTGTGAGTGTGCAAGCAGAGGTTGGTTGGATCTATTGCATTAAAGCCCTTGTTGCAAGCAACCTGAGCTGCACCTGTTTCTGCACTTGGTTAGTGAGTTGCCCTGAAGCAGCAGCAGCCTTTTTGTAAGTGCAGCAACAAACAGCATTGACCACTACTGACCTGGACTGACTTGCATTGACCAATATTAATTTGCGTTGACCAGCATCGACTAGCACTGACCTGCATTGACTAGCAGCGCACACTAACCTGAAATTGACCAACCATAACCAGCTTGCACTGACCTGCACGGAGAGCTCAATGGAGACGATGAGGATGAAGAGGCGGTTGACGAGCAGCCCCTCAAACACGTTCCACTCCTCCAGCTTGCGCGAGTTCAGCTGGTTGAATATCTGATGGGCCGAGGGGCGCGGGGGGAAAGGACAGGGAGAGGAGAGGAGTGGAGGTGCATCTGACACTGATTCGAGCCACACAGCACCTCAAATACGTTCCACTCCTCCAGCTTGCGCGAGTTCAGCTGGTTGAATATCTGATGGGCGGCGGTGGAGTAAGGGGTTGGAGGGGGGGGTGAAGGTGGAAGGGCAGAGAGACGGTATTGATAAAGGGGTTGTGCTGACAGCCACACGAAGCTCCACTCCTCCAGCTTGCGCGAGTTTAGGTGGTTGAATATCTGGTGGGCCACATGGGGGAGAGCGAAAGGGGAAGGTGAGCCTGAGCTTGAAAAGCATATCCCATCATCTCCCACAATGAACCATATACATGGCCCATGGGCACCATACGTACGAGTCGTCAATCCCATCGTCGTCACACCCACCCCCCCAACTCACCTGCATGAAGACGAATGAGGACAAGATGATGGTAACGAGCTGCTTCTCCCCTTCCGAGATCTCCTCTCCCCCTTTGGCAATCACCCGTGGCACGCCCGGGGGCCCCGGCAGCTGCAGCAGCTGCATGCCTTTGAACCACAGCACGCACAGCATTCCCATTGCCATCACACCCATCCCCCAACCCACCTGCATGAAGACACAATTTGAGACCCCCACACCTGCATGAAGACGAATGAGGAGAATATGATGGTAACGAGCTGCTTCTCCCCTTCCGAGATCTCCTCTCCCCCTTTAGCAATCACCCGCGGCACGCCCGGGGGCCCGGGCAGCTGCAGCAGCTCCATGCCTTTGAACCACAGCACGCACAGCAGCGACAGCTGGTACACCGTCTGCCCAATGATGTTGCGCCACATGGCAGCGGACACCAGCTCCTGGCTGCGCCCCACTGGCGGCTGCTCCAGAAGCTTGTCGGAGGGCGGTTCCGTGGCCAGCGCGAGCGCTCCTAGCGTGTCCTGAATCAAGTCCACCCAGAGCATCTGGAGAACAAGGGGGGGAAGGAGAAGATGTTTAATAAGGGGTTGGGAGGGAGAAGGGTGCAGGGCAGGGGAAATGAGCTCCTGGCTGCGCCCCACGGGCGGCTGCTCCAGTAGCTTGTCAGACGGTGGTTCTGTGGCGAGGGCGAGCGCCCCTAGCCTGTCCTGAATCAAGTCCACCCAGAGCATCTGGAGATTGGTAGGAGAAAGGGAGGAGGGTGAAGTGCAGGGGAAATGAGGCCTTGGCTGCGCCCCACAGGCGGCTGCTCCAGGAGCTTGTCGGAGGGGGGCTCTGTGGCGAGAGTGAGCGCTCCTAACGTGTCCTGAATCAAGTCCACCCAGAGCATCTGGAAAACAAGGGGGGAAAGGAGACGGAGTTCAATAAGGGGGTGGGAGAGAGGAGGGTGCAGTGCAGGTGAAAACGAGCTCCTGGCTGCGCCCCACGGGCGGTTGCTCCAGTAGCTTGTCAGATGGTGGTTCTGTGGCGAGGGCGAGAGCTCCTAGTGTGTCCTGAATCAAGTCAACCCAGAGCATCTGGAGAGCAGGGGCTTTGAGTCGACTCAGTGTGTCTGAACTGCCCCCAACTGCCTGCCAGCAATGCAGTGAGTTGACTCAACGGTGCATGGTCGATTCTCAGCAACAAAGCTGGTACGCACCTGCACGGCCGTGAGGGGAGCATCCCCTGTAACAACAGTGGAGATGAAGTTGAGGGTGAGGGCCACGCAGTTGACTGTGATCTGGAACTGCAGGAAGCGCTGAATGTTGGCGAACACGGAGCGCCCCCACACACATGCAAGGCAGCACACAGCACGCCCACTGCCAGTACGCCCCTACTCACCTGCACGGCAGTGAGAGGCGCATCCCCTGTAACGACCGCAGAGATGAAGTTGAGCGTCAGTGCCACGCAGTTGACGGTGATCTGGAACTGCAGGAAGCGCTGAATGTTGGCGAACACGGAGCGCCCCCACACGACGGTGCGCACGATGGATGCAAAGTTGTCGTCCAGGATGATGATGTCCGCGCTTTCCTTTGCCACTTCTGTGCCGCACTGCCCCATGGCCAGGCCTATGTCCGCCTGTGTGGGTGGGGGGGGAAGGGGAGACGTGTTGTGCGTATTAAGGTGTTGCCCAGGACGGAAGAATGATGCTCACTCTCTCTCTCTCTGGCAAGCCCGTGCTGCACTGCCCCATGCCTGTCACATCTCTGGCTGCTGCTGCTGGGGCGCCACATGGGCAGCGCACACATCGATGCCTCATGCACGCATCAATTCTCCATGCACATATCACATACACCCATCCACCCATCGACCCACCCACGAACACACCCCATGCACCCACCTCACACGCACATACCTCATGCAGCGCAGGGGCGTCGTTGGTGCCATCGCCTGTCACGGCCACCACATGCCCCATCTCCTTGAGTGCGCGCACCAGCTGTAGCTTGTCCGTGGGGGACGCACGTGCAAGCACCTGGTGAAGGACATGAGAAGAAGCGGGGGATGGTGGGCGAGAGAGCATGTTAGTGAGCGGACTCAAACATCTTGAGTGCACGCACCGGCTGCAGCTTGTCCGTGGGTGATGCACGCGCCAGCACCTGATGCAGGGGACTGCATGGCATGGGGCGGGAAGGAGGAGGTTTGGTGGAAGGAGGTGGGGAGGATTCAGTCAATCGTGAAACACAGAGGAAGAGGGAGGGGGAGGGGGGATGAGGAGATGACGATATGGAACCGCTGCCCACCTGCACATCTGCAACCCCCTTGCACCCTAAGTCCCACCTGCAGGCGGTCAACAGTTGCGGGGAGGTCGTTCTCATGGATGGCGCGGAACTGTGCGCCGTCCATGACAGTGCCGCCCGCCGTGAGGATCCCGCACTCGGTGGCAATCGCCGTGGCCGTCTCCACACTATCCCCCGTCACCATGCGCACCACAATCCCCGCGTTCTGGCAGTGCTGCACCGAATCCGGCACCTCAACCCTACACGGGTCCTTAATCCCAACAAACCCCACATAAACTAGATCGTCCTCTGGTACCCCCACGCTGCCGTCCTCTCTCTTCGGCATCCCCTCCACCCCTGTCCGTTTGTCAAAGTCCCGAAACGCAAACCCCAGCGTGCGCAGAGCCTCTTTTCCCATGTCTCGAAGAGCTCTCTCTAGCTCCATGCGCTTGGGTTCGGTGAGAGGCACGATGCTGCCGAGGGAGTTCACGTAGTGCCCGCAGTGCTGCAGCACCACCTCCGCTGCGCCCTTCCAGTGCACGCGCAGGCTCCCAGGAGTGGTGCTTTCCGCGGTTCCTGTGCTGCTGGTGCTGCCGGTGGTGGCGGTGGTGGGGGAAGCGGTGAGAGAGTCGGTGGAGGGGGAGGAGGAGGTGCGGATGAGCACGCCCATGCGCTTGCGCGTGGAGCTGAAGGGCTGCACCGCCACCACCTCGCACTGCTCCTTGGTCTCGTGGAAGTGCATGCCGAACTGGTGGAGGGGAATGAAAGGGCGCAGGGGGAGGGGAATGGTTAGCACAAGACACGGCAGCATCGGAGCTTAAGGGCTGCATTGCCAGCACCTCGCAGCATCGGAGCTTAAGGGCTGCATTGCCAGCACCTCGCAGCATCGGATCTTAAGGGCTGCATTGCCAGCACCTCGCAGCATCGGAGCTTAAGGGCTGCATTGCCAGCACCTCGCAGCATCGGAGCTTAAGGGCTGCATTGCCAGCACCTCGCAGCATCGGAGCTTAAGGGCTGCATTGCCAGCACCTCGCAGCATCGGAGCTTAAGGGCTGCATTGCCAGCACCTCGCAGCATCGGAGCTTAAGGGCTGCATTGCCAGCACCTCGCAGCATCGGAGCTTAAGGGCGGCATTTCTTAAAAATCTCAAGAGTGTGTAACATGGGAGGGGGGTGGATGGGGCGAGTGGCAAACTTCAGATTTCTCAGGAGTAAATCCAGCATAGGAGGGAGGAGGGTGGCAGGGATGTCTTACCGAGACTCCCCAGGCAAGGATGGCCTTTTCTGTGGGGCTGCCGCTGATGACAGGTGGCATGCCCTGCTCCTTCCACGTGGCAGCACATGGAATGGGGAGGAGGGAGAAAGGCAGAGGGAGAGAGATTAGGCCGGGGGAGAAAACCGGAGTAGGAGGAGGAGGAGCGAGGATGCAGCGGGAGTAAGAGGGGGGGGTGAACAATGAGGGGTGAAGGGTTGAGGTGAGGCAGGAGTGGGGCTGTGAGAGACGATGTGGGCAGAGCAGCAAGAATAGCAGCATGGCAAGATGGGATGGATGGATGGGAGAGATTGAGGAGAAAGGGGCGAGGTGGAGAAATATGAGAAGGAGAGCGAGGCGAGGAGGAGGGAAAGGCGAGGAGGAGCGCGAGGTGAAGAGGAGGGAGGGTACCGGCGGCTCATCGACGGATCCACTGGTGTTGACTGCAATGGCCTGGTAGAGAAGCTGTGGGGACAGTGGACACACGCATGGCGGGGGGGAAGGGGAGCGTATCAGTGTGAGAGCCGTGTGTCTGAGAGCACAGCCCACTGGTGGTGTTGGCACCACCGGGGCTGATATGCAGCCAGAGGGCGAGAGGCAGGACGGACTATTAGCTAGGGACCGGTAGCTACGGCCGCTACAGAGAAGGCATATCTGAGGTAGTTGTGTACCTGAGGCATTGGTGTACTCAAGGCATATGCGTACCTGAGGCAGGCGTACCTGAGGCAGGCGTACCTGAGGCAGGCATACCTGAGGCAGGCATACCTGAGGCAGGCATACCTGAGCGACGGGTGTGGAGACGCCAGTGCGGACGGTGTGGGGCTTATGAAAGTCGCCCGCAACCCACGCCTGCACCACTGTCATCTGTGTGTGGGGAGAGGGGGAGAGGACGAACATGGGAGATGTGAGAGAGGGAGTGGGAGAGGGACCTGAGATAGAACGACTGGTGCAAGAGAAGGTGCGAGAGAATGGGAGGCAGGAGGGAGGAAGTGAGAGGTGCCATAGAATAGGAGGTGCAGGAGAAGGTGAGAGCAGCACAGAGGGAGCATGCACAAGAAGGGTCAGTGGGAGCACTCACCACGTGCAACCAGGTAATGTTTGAGAGTACGGGAGTGTGGCAAGCAAGGGGAAACAGAGGGCAAGAATTCACCTCGTTGAGAGTGAGCGTGCCGGTCTTGTCACTGCAGATGGTGGTAGCACACCCCATGGTCTCACACGACTGCAGATGCCGCACCTGGTGGGGATGATGGGCAGCACACGATGCAGGGCATACATGTGTCGATATGCAGTGAGGTCTACATGACACAGCATTAGCATCATACCAACAGTAGCAAAGCATAGCAGAGAAGAAAGAGCAGGAAACAGCAGGCATGAACAGCGGGGGAAACGAGAGAGAGGCGTGAGTGTGAGCTCACCAGCGAGTTATCTTCCATCATCTTGGTCACTGAAAAGGCCAGACTGGTATGCAGGTACAGGTGGGGGGAGCAGGGTACAGGTGGTGGAGCAGGGGAGGATGGAGGAAAGAAGTGTGAGAGGAAAGGCGTGGAGGAGGAAGGATGGTGCGTGAGCAGGAGAGTGAGCTATACAGGCAGTGCAAATGACCGTTCTTAGAAATGCTCTTGAGCTTACGTGAGAGTGACAGCAAGGGGAAGGCCTTCTGGCACTGCAATGACCAGCACTGTGATCTGATGGGGGCGGATGAGAGGACGGAGAGAGGCATGGAGAGGGACGGACAGGAGGACAGACATTGCAGTGAGCGATGTACCATGTTGCAGGGTGGAGTGCGAACATACAGCAATGGGTGGCGATGTGAGAGTGAGTGGTTGAGGGATGGACGAGAGCGTGTTGCGATGGTGACGTAGCTGAGTGCTGTGCCATGTTGCAGTGCAGTGCCATGTTGCAGTGCTGTGCCATGTTGCAGTGCAGTGCCATGTTGCAGTGCTGTGCCATGTTGCAGTGCTGTGCCATGTTGCAGTGCTGCAGTTCAATATCGCAGCGCTTGCAGTGCGAGCACACTGCACTTGATGGCAATACGAGAGTGAGTGGTTGCGGGATGGTGGCAGGCAGGCATACCGCGATGGTGAAGTAGCTGAGCAGCACGCTGACGTCATCGGCAGTGAAGTTGCTGAAGTCAGCATCCGTCACCAGGTACCTACGGGGCGCGGTGTGGTGTGGTGTGGTGTCGCATGGCATGGTGTGGCGTTTTTTAGAATCCAATTAGGCTCCTCCTGAGAACCATAAAATGCACCATACGTGTCTGGTGTCCTACACTGTATACGCCTCTTCCGAGTGTGCAACATGCCTTCATATTGAGTACAAACGGCACCGTGATGAGCAGAGCAACACCTTACACCGAGTAAGAGCGCACCTGATACTGAGGATGAGGAAGATGAGCACGCCCACAGTGATGCCCATGATGCCCAGCAGCTATGCCACCTTGGTCAGCCGCACCTGGTGGTGCACGAAGGGGACCGGGGAGGGGGGAGTTTGTAGGATTTGAACTGCAGCGAGCTGACTGTGCCATGCCACCTCAAAAGCATTGCCCATGACGCCCAGCAGCTATGCCACCTTGGTCAGCCGCACCTGGTGGTGCACGAAGGGGACCGGGGAGGGGGGAGTTTGTAGGATTTGAACTGCAGCGAGCTGACTGTGCCATGCCACCTCAAAAGCATTGCCCATGACGCCCAGCAGCTCTGCCACCTTGGTCAGCCGCACCTGGTGGTGGGCAGGGCAGAGGGGGGACACACAAGGATTTGAAACACATAGCAACCTGGCTGTATCACCTTACTAGAGATGCAAGCATTGCTGCTCTGCCTGCACTGCTGCTCTGCCTCTCCCTTACCAGTGAGCGATTCTTCTCCGCATTTTTTAGACTTCTCAACAGGTGCTCTATGGCCGCCTCACAATCGCCAATCTGCAGCGGCGTGGTCTAGGACCACCTCACACCCCACTAACCTGCAGCGGCGTGGGCTCGTTGCTGTCCTCGGTGATGGTCGCTAGCACCTTGCCCCACTCACCTGCAGCAGCGTGCAACTATTACCCGTTGATCACTCTTCTGCACCTCTCCCTCTACCCACCACACCCCCAACGAACTAACCTGCAGTGGTGTGGGCTCGTCGCTGTCCTCTGTGATGGTCGCCAGCACCTTGCCCCACTCCGTCCTCATTCCCACCGCCGTCACCTGCTCACCATGCACGCATGCCCGCACGCATGCCCGCACGCATGCACACACACAGGCACACACACAGGCACACACACAGGCACACACACAGGCACACACACAGGCACACACACAGGCACACACACAGGCACACACAGAGGCACACACAGAGGCACACACAGAGGCACACACAGAGGCAGGCAAGGTAGCAGGTGGGCATGAGCAACAACCAAACTCGAAATGGCCTTCAAAGAGTTGCATGATCTGAACTGGTTCGGTTCGAGACTAACCAAATGCAAGGGACCAGAGGTTTGAAGTTTGCCATACATGGTTGAGATCCTGACGGTTTGACTGGAACCGGTTCAGCGGCGTCTCCCTGTGAACACCTGGTAACAAACAACCCCCCAACAGCGTCTCACCATCATCTCGCCGAATCCATCCATGATGGTGCAGCCAGCGAGAATGAAAGGGTTGGCTTCGTCCTTGTGCATCTGTACCATAGAATACCACAGCACAGCACAGCACAGCACGCCGCAGCACGTCATGCAATGGCACAGGGCGTCAGTGCGTTGTTGGTTTCACTGGCAGCAGATGTCAATGCAAATGCTGGTATCCAACCAGAAGCCAAGGAAAGGAGGGCCATGGCAGACAGCACTCACGTTCTGGCAGGCCCAAGGCGGGGCAGCCTCTCAAAAGCACGGCACTCAAATGGCAACACTGAAAAGGGTGGCACTACATCACGGCAGCACCCAAAAGGGCAGCGCTCACGTTCTCTGACTCCCCTGTGATGCTCGACTCGTTGACTGCCAACGAGTGCCCCTCCATCACCACCCCGTCCGTTGGTACCTGTTGCCATGTGCCCATATACCCATGTCGTTGCACAGGAGAGGAGAGAGTGCACAGCATTTAGGAAGCATCGCGTTTGGCGTTCTTTTGAGGCAGGCATGAAATGACTTGATATTCTCAAGACTACAGCACCAGGTGGTCTATCAGCACCGTGCAGCGCCAAGGTTGAGAGCAAAGGATGCCATGGGAGACAGGCGGATACAAGGCTAGAGAAGCATGGCAAGGCACTCACATGGTCACCCGTGGAGAGGTGGATGATGTCCCCCACCACCAGGTGGTCTATCAGCACCGTGCAGCGCCAAGGTTGAGAGCAAAGGATGCCATGGGAGACAGGCGGATACAAGGCTAGAGAAGCATGGCAAGGCACTCACATGGTCACCCGTGGAGAGGTGGATGATGTCCCCCACCACCAGGTGGTCTATCAGCACCGTGCAGCGCCAAGGTTGAGAGCAAAGGATGCCATGGGAGACAGGCGGATACAAGGCTAGAGAAGCATGGCAAGGCACTCACATGGTCACCCGTGGAGAGGTGGATGATGTCCCCCACCACCAGGTGGTCTATCAGCACCGTGCAGCGCCAAGGTTGAGAGCAAAGGATGCCATGGGAGACAGGCGGATACAAGGCTAGAGAAGCATGGCAAGGCACTCACATGGTCACCCGTGGAGAGGTGGATGATGTCCCCCACCACCAGGTGGTCTATCAGCACCGTGCAGCGCCAAGGTTGAGAGCAAAGGATGCCATGGGAGACAGGCGGATACAAGGCTAGAGAAGCATGGCAAGGCACTCACATGGTCACCCGTGGAGAGGTGGATGATGTCCCCCACCACCAGGTGGTCTATCAGCACCGTGCAGCGCCAAGGTTGAGAGCAAAGGATGCCATGGGAGACAGGCGGATACAAGGCTAGAGAAGCATGGCAAGGCACTCACATGGTCACCCGTGGAGAGGTGGATGATGTCCCCCACCACCAGGTGGTCTATCAGCACCGTGCAGCGCCAAGGTTGAGAGCAAAGGATGCCATGGGAGACAGGCGGATACAAGGCTAGAGAAGCATGGCAAGGCACTCACATGGTCACCCGTGGAGAGGTGGATGATGTCCCCCACCACCAGGTGGTCTATCAGCACCGTGCAGCGCCAAGGTTGAGAGCAAAGGATGCCATGGGAGACAGGCGGATACAAGGCTAGAGAAGCATGGCAAGGCACTCACATGGTCACCCGTGGAGAGGTGGATGATGTCCCCCACCACCAGGTGGTCTATCAGCACCGTGCAGCGCCAAGGTTGAGAGCAAAGGATGCCATGGGAGACAGGCGGATACAAGGCTAGAGAAGCATGGCAAGGCACTCACATGGTCACCCGTGGAGAGGTGGATGATGTCCCCCACCACCAGGTGGTCTATCAGCACCGTGCAGCGCCAAGGTTGAGAGCAAAGGATGCCATGGGAGACAGGCGGATACAAGGCTAGAGAAGCATGGCAAGGCACTCACATGGTCACCCGTGGAGAGGTGGATGATGTCCCCCACCACCAGGTGGTCTATCAGCACCGTGCAGCGCCAAGGTTGAGAGCAAAGGATGCCATGGGAGACAGGCGGATACAAGGCTAGAGAAGCATGGCAAGGCACTCACATGGTCACCCGTGGAGAGGTGGATGATGTCCCCCACCACCAGGTGGTCTATCAGCACCGTGCAGCGCCAAGGTTGAGAGCAAAGGATGCCATGGGAGACAGGCGGATACAAGGCTAGAGAAGCATGGCAAGGCACTCACATGGTCACCCGTGGAGAGGTGGATGATGTCCCCCACCACCAGGTGGTCTATCAGCACCGTGCAGCGCCAAGGTTGAGAGCAAAGGATGCCATGGGAGACAGGCGGATACAAGGCTAGAGAAGCATGGCAAGGCACTCACATGGTCACCCGTGGAGAGGTGGATGATGTCCCCCACCACCAGGTGGTCTATCAGCACCGTGCAGCGCCAAGGTTGAGAGCAAAGGATGCCATGGGAGACAGGCGGATACAAGGCTAGAGAAGCATGGCAAGGCACTCACATGGTCACCCGTGGAGAGGTGGATGATGTCCCCCACCACCAGGTCGTCTATCCACACCTTGCAGCGCCGCCCTGACCGCGTCACCTGCAGGTGGCGCAGGATGGGACGTGGGGTGTACCGGTGCACGTGCATAGGGGCATACGCACGTAGAGGGCCATATAAGGGTTGGTATGGAGGAGAGGGGGGTGGAGCAGAGGGGATGAAGCGATGGTGGAGTGGAGGGCATGTGAGGGTGAGGTGTGCAGCAGCAGGAGGGCACAATAGGGCGAGATGGTAACATGGATGATACCAGCGGAGGCTGATTTAAGTGCGCGACATTGCAGCACCGCTCACCTCGATCTGAATCTTCTGCTTCTCGCGGTTGAGCTTCTGGAACTGCAGTGCCTGCCGGTAGTTGCTTATCGCTGCTCAACACACACGGGCGCACGCAGGGGGGTTGAAGGGGAACAAACGAAATGGGTGGAGAGTGATGGAGAAGCCGAAGTGAGAGATGCAGAGGCGTTAGTGATGCATGCAGGGGGATGACGGGGGAAGCGGAGGAGCTGTAAGAAGGGAGAGAGGGCGGTACCAGCGGGCTCACTGGCAGCAAGTGACACGTGCGGATGTGTGAGTGTGTGTCCGTGTGTTACCTACCAGCAACAGTGATGATGAGGAAGAGAGCGATGAAGATGCCCAGCCCATCGTACAGCCCCTCCAGGGAGCCCAGTGGGTGTGCAGCAGCAGTGCGTACCACCGATGGTGTGACAAGTGAAGGCTTGTGTGCGTTACCAGCGACAGTGCCTACCAGCGACAGTGCCTACCAGCAACGGTGATGATGAGGAAGAGCGCGATGAAGATGCCCAGCCCGTCGTACAGCCCCTCCAGGGAACCCTCTGCAGGGATGCTCACGGCGATGGACGCTATGGCACACACAAACAGGATCTGCACTAATGTGTCCTGCATCGCCTCCCACACGAAGTACTGTTGGGTTGGGGAGGGGAGGAGGGGAGAGTAGGGGAGGATGTTTGCAGTGTGTGTAAAGCGAGACGGGTCACTGGTTGGCACACACTAAGAGGATCTGCACTGCTGCACCAACGTGTCCTGTATGGCTTCCCACACCAAGTACTGCCGGGATGGGCATAAGGGGGAAAAGAGAATGGAGAAGCTTAGGGCGGAGGGGCATAGGGTGGGCCGCACAGGGAAGCGAGCAGCGGGGGCACATGAGTCTGGGTTTAAGGCTTTGGGTTCAACGTGCGTCTTTGTGCTCCCTCCCTTCCACTGACCCACTCCACACTGGCCACTGCCACAGACACTAACCGCCTACCCCTGACCCGCAGGCACGTAACCAGAAGGTCTTGCCGGGCTTCTCGGGGTACGTGTTGGCTTGGCGCCAAAGTGGGTCACACTGACCCACTGATCGTTGGCCCGTTGAACCACACTGAACCACACTGAGTGACCCCTGATTCAGGCGCGTACCCAGAAGGTCTTGCCAGGCTTCTCGGGGTACGTGTTGGCTCCGAAGTGCAGCTGGCGGCGCGCAATGTCCTCGTCCGTGCCGCTGATGCCCCGCCGCGGGTCCACCTGCAGCCGCTCCGCCACGCCCCCTAGCTGCCATGGCAGTCCGGGGGGTTGGAGAGGGGTGGAGAGGTTTGTAGAGGGGTGCGGTGTGGGGGAAAAGAGGGGGGAATCCTCTAGCTCATGAATCGAGCAATGTCCTCCTCCGTGCCGCTGATGCCCCTCCGCGGATCCACCTGCAGCCAAGCGGCCCGGGGAGGTTAGGGAGAAGTGGGGATGTTTGGAGAGGGGAAGGTTGGAGGGGAAGCGGAGCTCGGGTGGGTGCAGTGTGGGGATGGATGAAGGGGGATATGTTGCGGCGTGACTCGCATGACGAGAGGGGGTATCTGAAACTAGCTTCTGCTTGCCCCACACACGCTGTAAACGCGCGCGCACACACAGACGCACACACGCACTCACGTGAACACACAGACACACCAACGACCACTCACTCCTCCTAGGGACTGCAATTTCGCGAAGTCGCCCGGATGCGACATTCGCGAGAGTTCGTCAGGGTCGATGCCGAATCCGCCCGCCTGCCACGCGCCCGTTTCGCCCATCTCCACCGTCTTACCGCCTGCGCATGCCACGTGGCCATGCAAAAACTTATCATTCCTGTTAGAGGGCCCTACGACAGCAAGGGCCCTCGATGACCTTTGACTTGGCAGGTCGGCGCCTAACGACTGAGTCTACTCGGCACCGACGCACGAGTTCGGTGGCGGTCATTAGTGACTACGGGTGACTGTGAGCTACTGCAGCGAACTCGGCGGAATCGGTGCTAGGAATGACGAGTCTTGGGGGTCGTAGGTGCCTTGCTTGTGAGGCACGCTGCTCACTTGCTGTGTTGGCAGGAGTAGCGTGCACGGTGAGACATTCCGGTGCCGAGTTGGGTTGGAAATGTGCGGGGCGCGTTCACCCACCTGCACAGCACTTTCGTGTGGGTTGGGTTACTCGCAGCGCCACGCAACAATTGTGCAACTCTTGCTTGCCTATATATGTTTGTGTTTGCTTGTGTGTTTGATAATTGATATTGCAATTCTACTTGGCCCAAATGCTACTTCAATTCTCACAAAGTCCTTAGAGGCAAACGCTACCAAAACTCTACCAAGTTGCTGGCGCAACATCATTCCCACAGCAGGGACTCTCTCGCTATCGCTACGCTCTCTAATATATTCCTTCATGGTGCGGTGAGCGTGGAACGAACACGCATAGATTTCCGTCGTCGTTGATATTCGCGTTCGTATACTCGCCTTGGCGTGCGGCGTTAGTGAAGGGCGCTTATTAATCTAAGTTGAACCTCTCTTGATTTCCCTCCAGTTACGTTCTCGGACCCAAGGATAGGGCGTTTGGTAATTTATTACCACTCGTCTGAGGACCCTTGTGAGGTGACCCCGAGACGAGGGATTTAAGGAAGGGGCACTTTATTTTAATTTGTGGTACCTTATAGAGACGTCGTAGAGGATGAGTACAGAGGAGGCGAACGTGGAGGCCGGTAATTTGCGCGCCCTAGAGGAGGATCTCGTGGCTCGTCATTCTCGTGGTGAGATTAGTGATATCGAATACGAGCTAATGTTGGAGGAATTGCGCTCGCGTCGGCGTCGTGAGCACCCTTCGCCACGTGTAGAGAATGTTGAGCAAGTTGCGGGAGGTACTAGTGCGTGGGATATGGCTGTCGATGGCGGAAATAGCGATGACGAGGAGTTTGATGGGTTGATGTCGCGTGGGGTCCTGCGAGGACCAACTCGGTTTAGTACGGCTAGCGTTGGCGGTGTACAGGAGCGTGTTCATCGTGCAGCAGCGTCACGAGAGCATGCGAATGTAGGACGGCGGAGCGTTGCTGGAGGAGGAATTGCGGAAGAGTTCGATAGTGAGGCTATGCCGGGCGTTACCCCGATTGGATCGATGTCGAGGGACGAGGGAATAGCCCCCAACTATGGCTACTTCAGATTCACTCCAGACAAGATCGTTGTCACTAGGCCGTTAGAAGGACGTCACGACCTGTCGACGTGGACAGAATCAATCGAGCCGCAGCTTGAGATCGCTCAGCTAAAGCGATTCATAGATGGCACCACCCCCATTCCACCAGCGCGTGCGCTTGCGCATCTCTCTCAGTTCCGCGCGATGCAGTTGCTGACATTCACCACCATTTCCCGATGCTGCTCCCCAACCGTACAGATCGCCCTTAAGGCGTGTCGCATGAAGGTCGATGCCGGCTATCAGGCATGGCAGTTTATTATGCGCACGTACATGGCGAAGGACGATCTGTACATCTGTCAGTTAGAGCAGGCGCTCACTAACCTCGAGATGGGAGAGCACGAGTCCGCTACATCATATTGCAACCGTGCGCAGCAGATCCTAGTGAACCTGAGGATGGCCGGCGTAGATTACTCGCAGGCGTCGTACATCACTCACGTTGTGAAGGGGTTGCCGCAGCAGTACAACCTCTTACGCAGGATGCTGAAGTTGCCGCAGGTTCGCAAGGAGTTGGACGAGGACACCCTCGCTAGCTACATCATCGAGGAGGAGTGTACGCTGGCGGCAGAGGGACGAAAGGACCAATTTCTTCCCCAGGCTAACCAGGTCTTTACCAAGAAGGGTAAGCCCCAATTCCAGCAGACTTCATTCCCTTCCCCTCCCACTACGGCACAGCAGCAGCAGCCTAAGAATGGGGGTGGGCTTGGTGGGGGAGGGGAGAAGTGGAAAGGGGGTAAGGATGGCCAGCCGAAGGGGGGGAAAGGGGGCTTCAAGGGGAAGTGCTATGTGTGTGGACAAATAGGGCATGTTGCTAAGTACTGTCAGCAGCGGGCGGTTAAGGAGGCAGACACCGGTGGAGAGGGTTCTGGAGGTAGCAGCGGAAAGGGGGGTGATGGCTCTAAGGGGAGCGGGCAGTCATCATGTGCGATGGTGAAGCCAGTTGTGGAGCAGACTCCTCTCGTTGTGCTAGAGCCTGAGGCCGGGGAGGGCTTACAGGCTGTTGCAGCTGCTGTGAAGGCGAACCCGAGCGTCGTGCTGCTTGATAGCGGATGCTCCCACCATCTCATGGGAGATCGTTCTGCCTTTGTGGAGATGAGCAGCGGCGGCAGCATTAAGCAGGTTACCGGCTTCAACGGCGCCCTTCAGGAGGTGCAGGGGCGAGGCACAGTCGCTCTTCTTGGGGAGGGGGGCAGGCGTGTCTTGGTGCCGGACGTGCTGTACGTACCAGGAGTGCAGGCGAGTCTTCTCTCTGCTGGGCAGCTGCGTGATAGTGGTGTGCAGCTGCTGGATGCCGGGGATGTGACTTTGCTGCGGGCACCAGATGGATCGCTCCTTGGTCGTGCGGAGTTCAAGGGGCGTGTTCTCTGCACGAACTTCCAGCCGTGTTCGACGCAGCAGCAGGAAGGCGAAACGGTGGCACTTCGTACCTTGGCGACCGGCGTACGGTCTAAGGGGGACCTGTGGCATGCGCGTATGGCACACGTTGGTATTGATGCCATCGAGCGCACAGCGGCTCACGGGTCAGTGAAGGGCTTGGATTTGGAGAAGGGGGGCAAGTCAGGCATACCTTGTGTCTCCTGTGTTGGGGGAAAGATCACTCGTCATACCTTTCCTTCTGTGGGAGAGGAGGAGGATGAGTTACTCGGGGTGGTGCATGCTGACCTGTGTGGCCCTTTCCGTGAAGCAGCTAAGGACGGCAGCCGCTACTTCTTGGTGCTGAAGGATCGCAAGACGCGATATGTCTGGGCCTACCCTTTGGCCCAGAAGAGTGATGCGCTGGCGGCGTTCCAGAAGTGGCTCCCGATGGCAGAGCGACAGTGCAAGACCACGGTGCAGGCGCTGCGCACTGATCGGGGTGGCGAGTTCCTGGGGCACGACTTCACGCTCATCCTCGACGGTAAAGACATCATCCATGACCTCACATGCCCGTACACGCCGGAGCAGAACGGGATGGCCGAGAGGGAGATGCGCAGCATTGTGGAGGCGGTGCGGACGATGTTGCTGCACATGGGTGTGCAGCATCACTGGTGGCACCTGGCGTTGGCTCAGGCCGTCTGGGTGCGCAACCGCGTGGAGCACGCCTCACTACCCTCTGGTGTGACGCCGTACGAGCTCGCCTTCCGACGCAAACCTGATGTCAGTATGGTGCGTGTTTGGGGCTGCATGCTGCAGTACATGGTACCACAGTCGCAGCGTGGGGGGAAGCTAGCGCCTAAGGCTCGCTGGGGGTTGCACTTGGGTGTGTCAGCTGCGAGCAAGGGCTGGGCCGTGCTGGACTTGGAGTTCAACCGCCTCATCACCACTGTGGAAGCTGTGTTCTATAAGACCATGTCCCTAGCAGGATGGAAGGCTTGGCATCAGCAGGAGCATGGGGGGCGTTCGATGCCCTATGAGCCCCTTCCCTCACTCTTCCCGATCACTCTCGAGGAGGCGGAGGAGGAGGAGGAGGTGGTCGCACCTCCTGCTATGCCCTATGTCCCTACCTCGGTCCCCACCCCACCTCCGCCTTCAGTCTACCCTCGTGTGATTCCCCCTGCCCCGCCTTTTTCCTCCTCACCCCCCTTGGCTTCCCCTCCTCCTCCTGTTATTCCATCTCCCCTTCCACCCTCCATCCCTCCTGCACCTGCTCCGCCCTCTTCTTCGTCTTCCACGGCGCCGCCCGTTGGTGAGGGGGGGATGGAGGTGCCACCGTCTGTGGAGATCACCGACGGGCAGCGCCTTGAGACTGAGCAGCTGCAGGACGAGAGCAGTATGGATGGAGTACAGCAGAGTGGGGGGCAGGAGATAGGGGAGCAGCAGACAGGGGAGCAGCAGATTGGGGAGCAGCAGACAGGGGAGCAGGAGATGTGGGGAATTAGAGATGGTGGTCGTGTGTTGGTTTCTGGGACGACCACTGCACCACTGCGTCGCTCCACTCGCATCACTCGTGGTGTCCCGCCTGTTCGATACGCTTGGGCTGTAGTGGTTGAGCCAGCGGGCTTGGATGACGAGGAGGAGGACGAGGAGTGGACTAACCTGGACCCGGACGTGGCAGCTGATCCTGAGAGGCAGTGGGACATAGCGAAAATGACAGTGAAGGAGGCCTTGGGCTGCTGGAAAGGAGACAAGGTGAAGGAGGCGATGGATGAGGAGATGCGGAGCTTGATTGAGCAGGGGACGTGGGAGTTGGTTCCGCGTCCGCCAGGGGTGAATGTGATGAAGAACCGCTGGATTTTGAACACCAAGTTCCGACCTGATGGGATAGTGGAGCGTGAGAAGGCGAGGCTGGTGGTGAAGGGGTTCACGCAGGTGGCAGGGGTGGACTATGAGGAGACGTACGCCCCTGTGGGAAGCTATGTGACGGCGCGTGTGCTTCTGGCGATTGCAGCTGCACTTGATTTGGACCTGATGCAGCTCGATGTGAAGAATGCGTTCCTCCATGGCGTGCTGGACCGAGACCTTTACATGGAGCAGCCGAGCTACTACGAGGATGGGACTCCTCGTGTCTGTAAGTTGGTGAAGAGTCTGTATGGGCTCAAGCAGAGCCCGATGCTATGGTATGAGGCCTTGGATGGGGTGCTGCTTGGGGCTGGATGGAAGAAGAGCAAGGTGGATGAGGCTCTGTACTTCAAGACTGATGCTGAGGGGGAGATGTGCTGGCTGCTGGTGTATGTGGATGACCTGCTTGCTGCCAGCCGCAGTCAGAGCATGCTAGCGGAGCTGCGTGACCTGCTGCAGAGTGCCTTTCAGCTGCGGGAGATTAGCCCTGTGGAGAAATATCTGGGGTTGCAGCTGATTCGGGACAGGCCCACGAGGAGGCTGTGGCTGCACCAGGGGGCCTATGTGGACAAGGTCCATAGGCGCTTCTTTGACGGGGAGCAGCCGCTGCGAGTGCCTCGCACCCCTCTTTCCTCTGACCCTTTCAGTGTGCAGACCTTCGAGGATGTGGGATGGCAGTCTCGCCAGGAGGAGGAGTACAGGCAGAAGGTGGGATCCTTGCAGTTCGCGGCCTGTACCACCCGTCCCGACATCTCGTTCGCCTGTAGCAAGCTGGGGTCGGGCCAGACTGTGCGGAGTGATCAGCACTGGAAGGAGTTGGACCGGTGCTTGACGTACTTGGTGGGGAGCAGGGATGTGGCGCTGGAGTTTGGTGGTGGGCCGGAGTCCTTGGAGCTGGTGGGCTACGCCGATGCTGATGATGCAGGGGACAAGCAGAACAGGACCAGCACAGGTGGCTATGTCTTCGTGCTCGGGGGTGCTGCTGTCTCATGGGCGAGCCAGCGGATTCGTTGCGCCACCCTTTCCTCCACTGAGTCTGAGTACGTTGCTGCTGTGGAGGCTGGGAAGGAGGCGCGCAGGCTGCGCTTCCTGCTGGCAGAGTTTCAACTGCTGAGGAGTGAGGAGCCCACGACTCTCTTTGTGGACAACTCCTCCGCCATTTCAGTGGCAGGTGGCATGGGGCTCAAGGGGAGCCTCAAGCACATGGAGCGTCGTCACATGTGGCTGCAGCACATGGTCAAGCGCAGGAAGCTGCAGCTGCAGTACATCCCTACGAGCGAGCAGCCTGCTGACTACCTCACAAAGGCATTGCATTTCCCCGCCTTCAGTCGTTGCTTCGAGGCTGTGGGGCAGGTGCGGCTCTCGAGTGAGGGGAGTGAAGACCTAGACACTCCATGATGTGGATGGTGCCATGGCCTATCCATGGCTGGTGCGGTGCGTGTTTACACTTTGAGCGTGTTTCGTTTGTGTGTATCCCTTTGTTTTGGTGTGTATGTGTGTATGCATGCCCTGTGATTATAAAGGGCCTTGCTGTAGTATGGCAGGGGAGTGTTAGAGGGCCCTACGACAGCAAGGGCCCTCGATGACCTTTGACTTGGCAGGTCGGCGCCTAACGACTGAGTCTACTCGGCACCGACGCACGAGTTCGGTGGCGGTCATTAGTGACTACGGGTGACTGTGAGCTACTGCAGCGAACTCGGCGGAATCGGTGCTAGGAATGACGAGTCTTGGGGGTCGTAGGTGCCTTGCTTGTGAGGCACGCTGCTCACTTGCTGTGTTGGCAGGAGTAGCGTGCACGGTGAGACATTCCGGTGCCGAGTTGGGTTGGAAATGTGCGGGGCGCGTTCACCCACCTGCACAGCACTTTCGTGTGGGTTGGGTTACTCGCAGCGCCACGCAACAATTGTGCAACTCTTGCTTGCCTATATATGTTTGTGTTTGCTTGTGTGTTTGATAATTGATATTGCAATTCTACTTGGCCCAAATGCTACTTCAATTCTCACAAAGTCCTTAGAGGCAAACGCTACCAAAACTCTACCAAGTTGCTGGCGCAACATCATTCCCATAGCAGAGACTCTCTCGCTATCGCTACGCTCTCTAATATATTCCTTCAATTCCAATAAAAAAACCGTATGTTCGCGCGCAGATGATAAGGTCCATTTTCCGCTGGTTCGAGTCGCATTGTCGCCTCGTTTGTGGGAGTAAAGATTTATGGTCAAACAATCAGCTGGTTGCATTGACACATTAATCAATTTAGCCTGGACCAAGCGTGGATGGCAAAGCCGAAAGGTGGATATCGAAGACATTTTCTTGAATGTGTTAACCAGTGTCGAAAGAAATGGCATCCCCGATGGTCACACCTTTGTTCTGGTCGCCCTTCTTCGTCCGGTCCAGCACACCCATGGCTGCGAGATGCTGATCTTGCAAGTGTGATTAGATGAGAGGAGGAGACGAAGACGGGATAGGCGGAGGCGCCGCCTCCGTCGATCTGTTTCGACGAATGACTACGTTATTGTAGATCGCTTGCTAGGCCAGCTGCTATGCCATTACGTTGTGCTGCATAACGAACCGGGACTGAGAGCCGACGATTCCATCGGAAAAGAGCACGAGCTGACGCGTCAATAGAGTCTACTTCAGCCCAGTGGCATTAGCCGACTCGCGGAGGGAGCCGATGCGCTCACGGTGACGATACTGACGACGAGATTCTTCGACCCTACGCCCCTAGTTGCGAGATGCGTGAACGGAAAGCACGGTCAACGGGATGGGCTCGAAGGCTCGGGCGGTGTCAAGTCAAGGCAATATACATCCGGGAGGACGGATACCGTTACTATATGGTCAGAACATGCACTGGCCAAGTCCACCGCCGATGGTGAAAATTGTGCTGGTCGCACCTAGCGAAGCTGATCTGGAGCGAGCTATGGCAGACAGACTTCTACCCAGCTCTGTCGGGGGTGTGCATTTGCAACCGCCTGCGCATGCTTTCTTCTATATTTCAAGCCGTCCATCAATTAACCAGAGAGACACGAGCTCGCATTCTTTCTGTATCACGGTTTAAAACGATACTTTGCAATTGAAAGCGGTTTGCTGCCTTTTTCGCAACGATCCGTACCCTGCCTCGCCATTGGCGCCTGATCTGTGAACGAACTGCACTGGGATGGTGGAAACCTTGGGGCGAATTCAGCAATTCAGAAGGTGTGAGGATGTTTGTTCTCTGGGGATATACCACGGTTATGTTCGGTTTGCTGCATCTGGAAGTGATGACGGATGTACTTGGAGAAGCAAACCAAGTGCAACGAACAAGACAGCAGCTCCCCTGAAAATTAAATCATGGCGGAAAGCGGAGATCGCAGGACGAAGCGGAGGAGAAAGAGGGTGTGGCGGAGAGCTGGGGTGGGGAAGGTGCACAAACAGAGGCAGGTGTGCGAGCGATTCGAGGTGGAGGCATGGAAGGGTGGATGGGCGCCTTGATTTGCGGAATGCCAAAGCGCAGGTGTACTACCAGGTGGCCCTTGGGAATGTATCAGGGCGAGGGTGATTGGTGCACGAAGCGTGCGAAATCAGTGGAGTCCTCAACCAATCTGAAGTGGCGCGTGACGTCATTGATGCACTCGCCACCACAAGTCAGATTCACAACAATATAGCATCGTATATCAGAACCACTACACCTCACATCCCTTCAGCAATGTGCTTATTGTACTATTGGAGATTAAGTGTGCATGTTTAGCACCTTACTAGGGCTACTGTCTTGGTCAACGCAGTTACTGTACATTAACATCCTTGATACATGGAATCATACATGCAAATTACCTGCGGCATTTACAAGCATTAGCTAGTTGGCTCGAATGAGTGGCCATGTTGTTCTGCGATGATATCCTTGAGCATACACACAAAGCCCAGGCTAGCCACGTGCTCCATTGCCTGCTTGTCCCTTCCACCTCAAATCCGGGCGACAAACTGGAGCAAACGAGCACCAGGAGCATTTCCAAGCCTCTTCACGAGGCACGGTGAAGGGTTGGCGGCGCCCAAGCCAGAACTCGAGGCTCGTGGAGATGCTAGCTTGCAGCCAGGGGGGATCGTAGGGGAAGTGGTCCTCGTGAATGAGTGAGCCATCCGCCTGCCACTCGTACCTGCAAACGAGCAGCAACACGGCGAAAAGCAACCCGAGGAGCAACTCAGAGGAGAGTTATTTCCAGGCGCTCGTGGGAGAGGAGACTGGCTGTGACTGTGACTGTGACTGTCGTGCAGACATGCATGGCATTGCAAGGAAAACATATGCTAGGAATTGACGTGACAAGGCTACCATACTGTCTGCATAGCGTAGAAGGAGGGTGGAGTGCAGCGGCTGCAGTGACTGGAAGGCGTGAGAGACTGCGGCCGTGACGTCAGCAAGGCAAGTGATCTGAACAACGGGACACAAGAGAGCGGACACAAGACACACCGAGGCCACAGGCAGGGTGATTTTGAGTCGACTAAAAGCTCGATCTAAATGGGACACAAGACAGCAGACACAAGACACACCGAGGCTACAGGCAGCGGCAAACAACACCACACCCTTCGTCCTCTCACCTCCCCAACATCTCAACTCCCCAACATCTCACCTCCCCAACAACTCACCACCCCAACATCTCACCTCCCCAACATCTCACCTCCCCAACATCTCACCTCCCCAACATCTCACCTCCCCAATATCACACCTCCCCCATAACCTCATCTCCCCAAAATCACACCATTCTCCGTGGAAAGACCTCAGCAGCATGTTGGAGGACTTGGGGAGAGAGGGTGGTGCGGGGGCGGAGGCGGAAGGAGGAGAAGAATGGCTCCTGAGGCACGCCGTGCCGAATCATGCTGCTCAGCAGCGCACTGTAGCACATGAGCTGCAGCCTGCACCGGGGAGAAAGGGGATGAGAAAGAAGGAGGGGGGAGGGCGGCTGTAGCACATGAGGTGAAGGCTGCACGAGAGAGAGGGCGGAGGGCAGAGGAGGAGTTCCGTGGATGAGGAGTTCATGAGGTGCAGCCAGGAGCAAGCAAACAAGGCAATACAGAAAACAATCAGGAGCATGTGTGCGCGCGAGCCCACCTAGCGAGGAATGACGGCGACCTGTCTTCTCCCCCCACCTGGCATTCCTGCTCTGCGCTGCTCTCGGTGGCCGGGGCCGCACGCGGGTCTTGGTGTCCACCACCATCACACACACGCCACCCGCTCCCGCCCTCCCTTCCCACGCCCACACCCACCCCCTCCTGCATACAAGCCCACCTGGCATTCCTGCTCTGCGCTGCTCTCGGTGGGCGGGGCCGCACACGAGTCTTGGTGTCCACCACCATCACACACCACCCGCCCCCGTGCTCTCCGCCTCCTTCCATGCCTCCCTCCCCACCTCCCTCCCTGCCACCCTCTCCACAGCCCTCCTCGCCCCCCCCCCCACCTTCCGTAATGGCCCCATCTATGTGGGGGTTTCTAGTGGAATCAGGTTGTGATGCGTGCTGCATGGACACATCGGATGACTGGGAGTTGATCGCCTGTGAATCAGAACCATATCCCGTTGAGCACCCTGAAATCATCGGCTGTGAATCCAACGGCTGTGATTCCAAAGGCTGGGGATCTAACAGCTGCGAGCCCAACCGCTGTGAATCTAACGGCTGTGATCCGTCGGTCCTCATGCACCCAGATTTCCTTTTCACAGGACTTGTATGGCTCGGTTTGCCCGTCTGACCTGCCTGTCCTGTTTGACCTGTTTGACCTGCTTGACCTGTCTGACTAACTGTCTGTCCTGTTTTGGCTGTTTGACTTGTTTGACTGCCAGCGCTCCTTGCAATCCCCTCTCTGTCTTCTGCTGCAGCAACTCCAGTGCGCACGAGTCGCAGCTCATCAATCACGCCCACCACCCACACGCCATGCACCCTGCCCAACCTGAGCATGGCGGGATTCGACGGTAGGAGCAACAGACATGTGCTCGCTGGTTGGGTAATCAGACAGCAGGAGGAGGAGGAGGAGGAGCAGCAGCAGGAGGTGATGAAGCAACAGGCAGTGGGCAAGGGCCAGGGCAGGAGACACTCACACAAAGACTTCTCGCGTTATGCCGGCAGCATCACCACCAAAGGGCCCCACTCCTCCATCCTCCCTCCCCATGGCAACCCCCATCGCCTCCCTCATACCCTCCCCCAGGGCCAGGACTCTAGCAGCCGCCCCCAGCAGTCTGAGCGCCCACGCGTCCTCCCTGGCTGCCACGGCCACCTCTACTGCTTCCACCACCTCCCGCTCCAACGCTGCGTGCCTCTCCGCGCCCGCCCTCATCGCTGCTGTTGGCGGGGGTTTGCCGCAGGCGAGAGAGAACAGCACCCGCTGCTCACACCACTCCTGCGAGCAGCGACGGATGGGGGAACGGGGGAATGGGTGAGTGGGAGAATGGGCGAGTGGATGAATAGTTGAAAAAAAAAAGTTGTTAGAAAAGGAGAGCAAGTGGATACCGAGAACTTGACGGGATGGAACAGGCACGTAGGAGTATAGTACCGCGTCTGTTATATCTGTCACGGACAGCCGTTGATTCCGCTTGCAATCCAACGGCCGCCGTGCCACGTGCCTTGCCCGAACCTCCAGCACCCCTTCCTTAGCTTCCCGCCCCTCTTCTTTCGTTCCCCTCTCCTCTGAATCCGTTACCCAAGCCTCTGTACTCATTCCCCAAGCCTCCATTCCTTCCTCGCGCTCCCTCGAACACCCATCAGCGCCTGCGCCTCCAGCAACGCCACGTGTCCATTCCGCTGGCAGCGCATCGAGACTCGACACGTCCTCAATGTCCGGAAAAAGGGACCTCCTTGTCACAGGCTCCGCCATTTGAGGAGCCTGAAAAGGCGCCTCGGGATGTCGAGGCGCCTCAAAAAGCGTCTCTGGTCGCATCCATGCGTAAAGCGACTTATGAGTTGACTCTGAAAACACTAGCTGCCGCGACGACGCCTCCGCGCTGCTTCCCGCAGACTCGATCCTGTCCCCGCGCCCACACGCATCGTTCCGCGTGTGCGCGGATTCCCTCCCAGCCTCCGCCGACCTGTCCACCCGCGGATGTTCCACCACTATCTCCGCGGAGCTACCCGCCCGCGCAGCTCTCCGCGCAGCCGCTTCCCGCTCCGCGGCCGCCACTGCCGCTTCTAGGAGCGCGAACTCCTCGTCGGGCAGGAGAAGCTTCTCGTGAAAATACTCGACATTTTCCATGCTGCCCGTGACGGTCGAAAAAATGTCCTGCCTTTTTGCACTCACGCAGTGCTACTCTTTTCCTCGCTAATAGCACAAGAAAGCTCCTTGACTCGCTAAAAAAGGACGTCACTGAAGTCGTGGAGTTTCTTGATCCCGTCGCGAAATGCTGTCGGCCTCGCGCTTGAGGCTCCCGCCCACAGCCATGGGTACCTTTCGCGTGTACTATCGCTCATGCTGCTGCTGCCAGCAAGCAATGCCCGATTTCGTCCCACCGTCACCAACGTCTCGCTTTACGGCATGTAATGCTACAGTTCTCTCACGTCAGCTTTATTCGCAGCGGCGAGGACGACTAACAATCAAGAAACGCAGCTGATTCCCCCATACATGACAAGTGTAATGCCTGTGTTGACTGACCTGAAAGAGGATAGAGGCGAACGGCGTAAGGACCTCGAGGAGAAGCAGAGCTGAGGGGATGCGTCACCAGCACGCTACATTCTACGGCTCGGACGCTCCGAGGCTCCGTCGATGGTCCGGAGAAGGTATTGGAGTTTATACAGCTACCTTCCTTGTAGTGCCAGCCTCGATATGTTTTTAGTTCTTTTCATGTGGTTGAGCTGTTTAATTCAGACGGTCCAAAAGGGTGACGAGATGGTGTGGTGCACCCAGGGCAGTTTAAAACGAATACAGGAACAAGCCTTCCCCGCCAAGCTCTTGGCAGGCTGTTCGCGATTGGAAGCAAAAGCCACACTCGCAATTCAAAAGGAACAAATCGATGACTGCCATTTGGCATTGCGGGATTGCTCAAGAACATGGACGCGTCTATGTGAGTAGCAAAGGAGATCCTGTGTACACCTGATGCCTATTTCAGTCTCGTTCCCCATCTTTCCTTGTGCTCCTCTTTCGAGCACGCGCTCCCCATGGGGAGAATGGGACTGTATTTGGGTAGCCTAGCGTGTCTTGTCTGGGAAACTCGAATAACTTATTCGAGGTCAAGAATATCTTGGTTTTGTCGTGGGCTAGTAACGCGCGGGCCGTTGGCTGTGAATGTCGACCACTGGGCGTATGGAGTGGCAGTGGGCGTGTTCAGAGTGGGCGGTTGAGTGAGCATTAGGGTGTATTGATTTTCCATGTTCGAAAACAATATTCTATGAAGCATGATTGGGCAGAATTGAGAACTGTACACTATCCCTTCTGCATTCAGCTCGAGGAATTCTCTAACCTGAATGATTGGGAAGTACAGTGCTAACCTGTATACCATATTACAGTCGGAATTTTTTAACGCTGACCCTGCGATGCGAGGCGAGAAGAAACGAATATTCTTCTTCCACCTCTGGTCGGACAGAATGCCCTGGTTTGTGGCATGCAAGCCAGCCACACGAGCGTAGAAACATGCCAGCAACATGATTCAAATTTTGAGTTACCCTCCCGCCAATCGGCAGCCTTCGTAATATGCCTGCCCTGCTGAGCTGCTCTTTCTTTCTTGTAACGTGTCTAAGGAGCACTGTACAAACAGTACAGTTCTCGTGTGGTGTGGACGACACTTTGCCCAGACCAGAATCTCAGAAGTGCCAGCAAGGCCAGGCCTTGTCCATCCAAGTCATCAAGATCATCACCTATCTTTTGTCCTCGCACAACTGCAGCTGTTTTCATGAAGCTGATCGCGCGAGATTTTCTAGAACTTGGCTTGCCGATCCGACGGTTCTTCAACTTGGCTTGTATGTGTGGAAGATAACGTCGCCGCATTCGTCGCTATCGAATCCCGCTGGTCTGTCTTCCTCCCCACAAGACTCATCAAACGACTCCCGGTGGTGTGTTATTCTCCCTAGACTACATTTAATTATGTACTGCCCGGAATCATTAGCACATAACAAATACCAATGTTCCCTCCAAATAAATCCTCAGGCCAGTTTCTGAAATTCTCTTTGCCCATCCTTCGCCGCTTTAATCCATCCAACCCCCTCCAACAAACGTGTGCGTGCATCACAGCTGTGAAAATTGTCGCATTTCGGAATTTGAGCGCCCTCTTGACTGATTTGCACTTTCTCAAAATGCGCTGGCCCAAAACAAGGCAGTCTTTTACAAGAACCTCTCGTCCAGCTCAGCCACAGATTTTTCCGGTCCCGCGCGATTCCTCCCCCATCTCCCACATCCTCCCATTCATCCCACACGCGGCACGGCCCGTCCTCCAATTCTCTCCCTCCTCCCTCCTTCCGAACATCTCTCTCGAAGCTCTTCCATCCCCCCCCCCCAACATTTGCAAATCCACGATTCGACGCCACACAGTCCCACACAACTTGCCATTTCCGGGCCAGCAATCTGCCTCTAGCGCTGCACTGCTCCATTCCTGCCTTCCCTACTGTCCTGCTCTGTTTTGCTTTGCTCAGCATTTCCACACGAGATCGTCCCAGCTGTGCACATACATTCTCCACCACTTCTGATTCTTTTATTACAGTGAATTGAAACGCCGCGTTGTCAAAGGCCACCACTCGAAAACTCTGTAGTCTCCAAATGTCAGCTTTAGCGCCGACGATCTTCCAACACCGATTCACATTTCCCGACATCCGTCTAGTACCCGGCGCCTCTTCGTCATACGCCTGGGCCCCCAACATAACGAAAGACGAGTCAGTCGCTACTGCGATTCGAATTCGTGTAAGAACCAGCACCTCTTTATTTCCGCAGATTTACCGCTACCCGCACTCCCCGTCGTAGCTGTTGAGCATCCGGCGTCCCGAGTGTCCTGTCGGTTCGAATCATCGCGTACTCCCTTACTGGGCGAATGAGATGACGACGCCGATCATCGTACATGAGCACGCCTGCCCCGTGTCGCAAATCTGAGCCGCGCCGCAATCCGCTAAATCGAGGGCTCTGCGGCACCGCAGCGCACGCTCTAAGATTCTTACTGTCCGCCGCCAACATTTTAAACGACATTGCGCTTCCATCCGTCTTGCGTCGCGCATCTCCTTCGGATCCTCTCCTGAAGCCGCGAGCCGCGAACACAGTAGCACCACGCGCGACAGTCCGACTGTAAGCCTTCTTGCACGATCCATACGATTCATCAGAGTCGTCCCGCGGCCTCACATCCCGACAGAGTCCTCGCGACGCCAGCTCAACTGACAATAGAGTCCGACCGTTGATTTGATCGAGTCGACCGTCGACTGCGGATACCGTTGGTTCGATCAAAGGAGGTCTCTGAGAGGCAGGCCTGAGGCGCATTCCCTCGCTTGCGAAGCGACATTGGATTTGTCGTTCAAATTGACATTCTCGAAGCGTCGCTCGGGGAAATCAAATCGTTCTCTGCCGTAGCGACGGCGACGGTTTCAGCGAAAGCGACGGCGTCGCGACCGCAACGGCGACTCGGCGGTGACGGCGACAGCGACGGCGGCGGTTCCATCGAGCAAATACGTCTGACGGATAGTCGAGTGGCGAGGCGATGCGATGATCGCTGCGACCCGCTTCGGTACTAGCGACGTTGCTGCGATAATGTCGGCGGGAAATGCGGCGACGGCGACGGCTTTTGGCGGTCGAGCACCGCGCGACGACCGCGCCGACGCAGCAGCGGCGCTTGCGGCGGCGGCGGCGGGGGGTGCAGCCTTCAAGCCGTCACCATTGCCGCGATCGGCGGAAGCGGAGTCGCCTCAAGGGGCGCGCGAGCCGATGGGGGACAGCGCGATCGGCGGCGCAGAGCCCGGGGCAACGGGGAGCTACTCCCGCTGGTGGTCGCCCGAGGTAACTTACTGCCGCCGCATTCCCGCGCGCGTGATAGTGCCGCCCCATTTCCTCGCGCGCGGCGCCCCATTCCCGCGCACGGTAACATCGCCTCATTTCCGCGGCCTTTTGAATTTAACCACACTTTTCGAGCCATACTTCCTTAAGCGCCTCCTGCTGACTGCTTTCCCGTTCACCCTGTCCCTCTCCCCCGTCTCCCCCCTTCTCTTGCCCACCCTTCCCTCCGCGCCTTCCCCTGCGCAGGAGGATTTGATTTTATTGGATCACGTGCGCAGCTACGGCACGCGGCACTGGGGCGTGCTCAAGGCGTCGGGGAGGCTGCCTCACCGCGACAACAAGGCCTGCTGCAACCGCTTCATCCTCCTTAAAAAGTAATCCACTCCCCTTCATAATAACTGATCCACTTATCCCTCCTTAAAAAGTGATCCTTTTCACCCTTCGACCTCTCTCTCACCCGCTCGCTCCCCCTTACCCCCTCCCCCCTTCCCCCATTATCCCCTTCCCCACTCACCCCCCCACTCTCCTCCCTCGCCGCTCCACTGGCTCTCTCATAGCCTCTCACTCACTCCTCCCCCTTCTCAACCTCATTCCCCCCCTTCCCCCATTCCCCCCTGCAGGCGCTACCTAGACCAGGAGGGCGCGCCAGTCTATCACGGCCTTACTGAACCGCTATCTCAAGGACTCACCCCAGCCCTCCGATCTGCGCACAGCCAATCTGAGCTGTCCATTCTCTCCCCCACGTCCCCCCAAGGCACCTCCGCAACCGCCACCATCACCTTATCCTCCCCTGCCGCCATTACCAGCCATCAGTCCTTCGCTCATCCGCATCACCCTCGCGGTTACCTGGTTACCAGCTCACACGCCGGCCCTGCAGCTGCTGCGGCTCCTCCTCCTGCTGCTGCTTCTACCGTTGCTGCTGCAGCTGGAGCGATTCCTGGGCAGCCTCGGGGATTGCCTGTCCCTGTAGGTTCGGATCCCGGACCTACCGCCGAGCCTGCTGCCGTTGCTGGCGGGTCTTCAGTGCAGGCTGGGCTAAGCGCGGCCTTTAGTAAAGCGCCGGAAGCGGTTGAAGAGGAGGAGTTGCGCGGGCTGGCGCTTACGGCAGGGGGGAAGTGGGAGGAGAGGGAGGGGGGGGTGGGGCATGGGGGCATGGCGCATGGGGGGTTGGCGCATGGGAGGTTGGCGCATAGGGGGTTGGCGCATGGGGGGATGATGGATGGGGAGGGGATGGAGGGGGCGATGGTGGATGCTATGTGGGAAGCTTATCATGCTGGTGGTGGTATGACGCATGGTGAAGCGATGGTGGGTGGAGCGATGATGGATGAAGGGATGGGTATTGCAGGGTTGGGTGCGGCAGGGATGGGTATGGCAGGCTTGCAGAGCACGCAGCAGGGCACGGAAGGGACACACGCAGCAGCACGTGGCATGGGGATGACCGGCAGTCACGCAGGCGCTGGGAGCATGGGGAGAGGAGGGGCGCATGGGGGGGGAGTGGGCGCGCACGCATGGGCGGTGGAGCGAGCCATACGAGAGGGGCTGCGCCCGCATGCGTCCACGTCCTTCAAAATCGCTGCCAGGTACGCCTGATCAGACGCCAGGTACGCCAGGTGCACGTACTGCCAGGTACGCCAGGTGCACGTACTGCCAGGTACGCCAGGTGCACGTACTGCCAGGTACGCCAGGTGCACGTACTGCCAGGTACGCCAGGTGCACGTACTGCCAGGTACGCCAGGTGCACGTACTGCCAGGTACGCCAGGTGCACGTACTGCCAGGTACGCCAGGTGCACGTACTGCCAGGTACGCCAGGTGCACGTACTGCCAGGTACGCCAGGTGCACGTACTGCCAGGTACGCCAGGTGCACGTACTGCAAGGTACGCCAGGTGCACGTACTGCCAGGTACGCCAGGTGCACGTACTGCCAGGTACGCCTGATCAGACTTCTCGTGGCTTAACATCTCCCTCTCTTCGTCGTTCCCCTCCCCCCTTTTGAACAGGAGGAAAATGACACCACACTCCCCGTCCTTCTCCGGCTCGCCGCACTCACACGACCCGACCTTCATCCGCCGAATGGCCGATTTCTTCCGCCTCCCCATGCCCCCGCCCGCTGCTGCCACTGCCATTGCCGCTGCTGCTTCTGGTGCTGCGGCTACTTCTGCCGCCACCACCTCTGCAAGCTCTGGTCCAAACTCACCTGAGATTTCACCTGGTGGGGCGCCTGAGAGCCGTGCAGCACTGGAGGGGAAAGATGCGACATCAGGCGAACACCCGCAGCAAGAGCAGCAACAACAAGAGCAGCAGCGGCAGGAGGAGGAGCAAGCAATGAAAGCAGCAACGAACCTGGACAGGCTCCAGATCAACAGCGGCAATGACCCACAGAAGTCACATCGCTTTCAGCAGTCACACCACTCTCAACCGCTTCACACCCCTGTGGAAACTGCCAAGACCAACCTATCCTCTCAGCTCCCATCTGGGTCCTCTGCTGCTGCCCTTCCTGTTCCCTCTTCGGTCCAAAACGAGCTGACCACTCGGCTGTTTGACGCCCTCAGCCAATCGCCACCTTCCATGGAAGAACTTTCAGCTGCCCGGAAAATGAGTCACGCACTCCAAGCAGCAGCGGGGGCTGGTGGGAATGCAGCAGCAGCTGCTGCTGCTATGACTGTTGCAAACGCCGCATCTGCTGCTGCCTCTGCTGCTGCTACGACCATCACAAATGCTGCATCTGCTGCTGCTACTTCTAATTCTGCTGCTACAGCTGCGACCATGCCGTCGTCAGCTGTTGCCGTGTCTGCTACACAGGTTGAAGGAGACTTGCACTTTACCCGAATCGCATCCTCGCCCACTCTCGAGTCTTCCTCCCTCCCTCACTCTCTCCCTCACTCGCGCTCACTGTCCCTCTTGCACTCGCTCTCCCACTCACACTCGCTCTCTCACTCACACTCGCTCTCTCACTCACACTCGCTCTCTCACTCACACTCGCTCTCCCACTCTCGCTCTCTCTCGCACTCGCTCTCCCTCTCCCACTCCCACTCGCCCTCACTCCACCGCTTCCCCAGCCAGGCTTCATTATCCACCTCCCCTCACCAACCTCACTCCCTCCTCCCCTCCTCTCTTTCCCTCCACTCGCCACTCTCTCACCTGGAGATGCAACAGCAGCAGCAGCAGCAGCAGCAGCAGCAGCAGCAGCAGCAGCAGCAGCAGCACTGGCACCACCAGCAGTTACAAGAATACCAGTTACAGCAGCAGCAGCTGCAACTGCAGCACTTACAGCAGCACCACTTGCAGCAGCAGCGCCAGTTGCAGCGATTACAAGCACAGCAGCAGCAGGCAATGCTTTTCGCCACGGCTACCCCCAACACCAACACCAACACCAACACCAACAACAGCAGCAGCAGCAGCAGCAGCAGCAGCCACGGCCCCAGTGGTCCCAGGAGTAGCAACTGCTTCCCAGCTTCCTTCCACAGCGGTCAATCCCCAGCCGCTGCTGCAGCAGCAGCAAGGGCGGTCCCTCGTGCTCTTTTCTTCTCCTCCTCTTCACCCGCCCCCATCCCTGTCTACCAGCAAATCATGGTTCCCCAGGCAGCCTTGGCCCCGAACCACACCATGCCACCGGACCAAACAATGCTGCCGAACCAGAGTATGGTGGGCGGGGACATGCTGCCACAGCAAGTAATGCTGATGAACCAAGCCATGCTGCGGAGTCATGGCTCGGTGGGGCAGCATGGCATGATGGCACAGCAGGGCATGATGGGGCAACAGGGCATGATGGCACAGCATGGCATGGTGATGCTGCCACAAAGCATGCTACCGAGTCAGGCAATGGTGCTGCCCCAAGGTATGGGGATGCAGAACCAAATGATGCTGCAAGGAATGCTCCCCCCCTACCCCTCTTCCCTTGCTGCTGCTGCTACTGCTGCGGCTGGTTGCGGTACTACCGATGGTGCTGCCGATCCCGATGCCACCAGCCCTGCCTCTCACGTTGTCCCCGGCTCCCTCCCCTCCTGGTGGAAGGAAAGTCTCCCAATAGTGCCACCCACCGTGCACTCTCACAGCGCTGCAAGAGGCAAGGTGGGGAAACGGACGGGCGCTGGTGGTTCTGCCGGCGTGGCTGCAGGCGTGGCGACAGCACCAACAGCACCGGGTGGTGTGACAGATCGTACAGGCATGCAGAGTGCAGCAGTCGGTGCTGCAGCAGCCGGTCCGAAGGATTATTCGTTGAATAAGATGGAGAAAAGTATGGATGAGCAGGATGATGTGAAGGATGAGAAGGATGAGAAGGCACACACGCCTGAAGTAGAAGGTGGAGGTGTGGCAGGTGGAGGTGTGGCAGGTGGAGGTGTGGCTTCGGAGGGCAGAGCAGGGGCGGTGGAGCAGCATCTAGATGAGGACATGTGCACGATGGTAAGGAGGGCGGGAGAGGAGGGGCAGGAAGGGGGTGACGCTGAGAGGGCAGCTGAGGCAGCGTGGCAGGGAGGAGACGATGCAATGATGCAGACTGCATGGTGGAATGCAGCAGATGCAGTAGCAGCGGTGGCGGCGGCGGCAGGAGAAGAGGGAGATGCGTGGATGCCGTTTGACTTCTGCCCTGACCCCTCCACTCCCCCAACCTTGGCTGGTTGAATCAAACAGGGGAGTGGAGGATGTACAGATGACGTAGCCTTGGTTGTGTGGTGATCGGGTTAGGTAGCACAGGGTTTCGGGCTAGGCATCGGGGTTTGGTAATGGGTAGGGATGTTGGATCAGGTTACTTGAAACCTAGGATATGTGTTGCTGGCAGCCCAAACAGTGCAGGAGTTCCCAGAGCAACTGTGGCCACTACCTATGTGTACATGCTATGCTTTTCTCGTGTGCATAATAAGCCATATTTGAACTAGAAAACTTTTGAAAACAAGGGAGCAATAAACCTGCTTTTAAAATATGATATATCTAAATAATCACAAAAGAGATTTATGTACAGGCCTAGGCAACTGAATTCTAAAGTATGCGCTACATATTGAAGTGGGAGGGTTGCGCGGGCGCATGAGGATTGCGAGCATCATTGTTCATCGGTGCTCGCGAATGAAGAGCGCATGCTGCACATGTGCGGATCCTTCCACGTTTTGGGGGTGGAAGCGCTCGTTACGAGCGTATTTCTTCCGCCGAGTCACATGGCTGCGCTTGTCTGGGCCGATTGCCAAGCCAGCAAGGGCGTGGGAGGGTTGCGAGCATCATCGGTCATCGGCGCTCCCGAATGAAGAGCGCCCGCTGCACTTCCTGCACATGTGCAGATCCTTCCGTGTTTTGGGCTTGTCTGCGCTCAATCCGAGCGTTTTTCTTCCGCCGGGTCACGTGGCTGCGCTTGTCTGGGCCGATTACCAAGCCAGCAAGGGCGTGGGAGAGTTGCGAGCATCATCAGTCATCGGCGCTCGCGAATGAAGAGCGCCCGCTGCACTTCCTGCACATGTGCGGATCCTTCCGCGTTTTGGGGCTGGAGGCGCTCGTTACGAGCGTTTTTCTTCCGCCGGGTCACGCGGTTGCGCTTGTTTGGGCCTATTACCAAGCCAGCAAGGGTGTGGGAGGGTTGCGAGCATCATCGATCATCGGCGCTCGCGAATGAAGAGCGCCCCCTGCGCTTCATGCACATGTGCGGATCCCTCCGCGTTTTGAGGCTGGAGGCGCTAGTTCCAAGCGTTTATCTTCCGCCGGGTCACGCGGCTGCGCTTGTCTGGGCCTATTACCAAGCCAGTAAGGGCGTGGGAGGGTTACGAGCATTATCGGTCATCGGCGCTCGCGAATGAAGAGCGCATGCTGCACTTCCTGCACATGTGCGGATCCTTTCGCGTTTTGGGGCGGGAAGCGCTCGTTCCGAGCGTTTTTCTTCCGCCGGGTCACGCGGCTGCGCTTGTCTGGGCCGACTACCAAGCCAGCAAAGGCATGGGAGGGTTGCGAGCATCATCGGTCATCGGCGCTCTCGAATGAAGAGCGCCCGCTGCACTTCCTGCACATGTGCGGATCCTTCCGCGTTTTGGGGCTGGAAGCGCTCGTTCCGAGCGTTTGTTTTTTTCCGCCGGGTCACGTGGCTGCGCTTGTCTGGGCCTATTACCAAGCGAGCAAGGGCGTGGGTGTGAAGATTACGAGGAAAATTTAGAACAAGAAAGAGGGGTTTGCACTAGCAGCAGTTGAGATACATGTAGGAAACCCTAGATTGGGCTGTACTCGCTATAGAGTACCCCACTGCAGGCTAGACAAATACAACATTCTGACACACCCCCATAGCCAAAGTGGGGTGTAATCAACAGAGCACGCAGTCATAGAGCAGGTTCACAAATGCAAGCAAAGCTAGAGGCTATCACAGAGGGCAAGTGAGGAGGAGGAGAGACTGTGGGGGCGAGAAGATGGAAGGCGACTGCTGAAGCTGCAGACACACAGAAGCTGCTGGCTCAGTGGCTACCGAAGCAAAGGCCCGGACTACAGGAGTAACTGGCTCCGCGGAGATTGTAGCCTCCTGACTGGAGCAACTGACCCACAGGCGACTGGCGACTACCGGAGATTGTAGCCTCCGGACTACTGGCGCTGCTGACGACACGACGGTTGCCTCCACTCAACCCCCCCCCAGCTGCCCCACGCCCCTATCACACACCCCCTGCTGCACCCCTAGCTCCACTCCCACGACACCCCCCTAGCACCACTCCTTCGGCTCCCACACACCCACCCCCCTGAGCGGCAGCTGCAGCAGCGGGAGACGGAGGAGGAGGAGGAGTAGGGGACGGGCGCACACAACCGGCACCCCCACAACCGCCACCCCCACACTCACGAAGCTGCTGGGGGGGCGGGGTCTCACGAATGCGCTGCTGCTGCTGGCGCTGACCACCACCGAAGCCGCTCCGCTGCGCAGAGCCACCCCGACCAGCTCCACCTCCGCCACCGCCACCGAAGCCCCCACCCCCGCCACCACTCCCACCGCCACCCCCACTCCCTCCGCCGCCTCCACCGCCACCTCCACCGCCCCCGCCAGCCCCTCCAGCGCCCTTGCCCCCCTTGCCCTTGCCGGTGCGGCGTCTCCCGCTAGGGGCAGACGCAGCGCCGGCCGACTCGGTGCCAACGAAGTCGACGGCAGCAGCAGAGGAAACAGAGGGCAAAAGGGGGGAGGGGGAGCACCCCTCAAAGAAGGGGGCACGAGGGTCACCACGAGAGGCTCCTACAGCGACTATACTCTTCTCAGCTGCCAGGAGGCGCTCCTCGAGGAGGTCAACGGTGAGTGTGGTGGGGCAAACAGAGAGGAAGTGGTCCCTGACCGAGCGAAGGGAGTCAGGGAGCCGGGTGACTATGTAGTAGAGGGTGATGTACATGGGGGGGGGGTTCTTGGCGCAGAACTCAGCAGGAAGCGCAGCGCGGTAGCGGGTGTCACTAGTGCGAAGGTGCGTAATGAGGTCAGCGACTGTGGGAAAGGCGGCGAGGTCAGGGAACAGGTACGGCAGCATGAGGCGGCTAAGGGCAGCAGTGGCAGGGAAAGAGTAGCGTGCGACTACAGCGTCGTACAAGGTCCTAGCACTCTTGTACTGACTGAAGTGCGCGCGCTCAGAGGAACGCACAGCAAGACGGGCAGCAGCATCGCGTGTGGCCCACTGTGAGCGAACAGTGCTGTCAGCATCGGCAGCAGGGGCAGCAGAGGCGCCAGACGTGAGATCGAACAGTGAGAGACCGTCTTTCCTATCGCACTGTAGGAAAAGCTGTAGATCATCGACCCAGACCTCAAAGTCAACAGCCCAACCCTCAGCATCAAAGACTAGAACGCTAGGGGTAGCCATGACAGCAGTGGCAGCAGGCTAGGGGCAGCAGCAGCAGTAGCAACAGTAGGGGCGCGGCTCGGCGGTGCTCTTACCAGGGCAGGTGGGTAGAGGTCCGCAAGTGGTGGGGCAGGGCCGAGGTGCGCCGGCAGGGACGGGTCCTGCACATGTGCGGATCCCTCCGCGTTTTGGGGCTGGAGGCGCTCGTTTCGAGCACTTTTCTTCCGCCGGGTCACGCTGTTGCGCTTGTCTGGGCCTATTACCAAGCCAGCAAGGGCGTGGGAGGGTTGCGAGCATCATCGGTCATCGGCGCTCGCGAATGAAGAGCGCCCTCTCCGTTTCCTGCACATGTGCGGATCCCTCCGCGTTTTGGGGCTGGAGGCGCTCGTTCCGAGCGTTTTTCTTCCGCCGGTTGACGGGGCGGCCCGTGTCTGGGCCTATTACCAAGCCAGCAAGGGCGTGGGAGGGTTGGGAGCATTATCGGTCATCGGCGCTCGCGAGTAAAGAGCGCCCGCTGCGCTTCCTGCACATGTGCGGATCCCTTCCGCATTTTGGGGGTGGAGGCGCTCGTCCCGAGCGTTTTTCTTCCGCCGGGTCACGCGACTGCACTTGTCTGGGCCTATTACCAAGCCAGCAAGGGCGTGGAAGGGTTGCAAGCATCATCGGTTATTGGCGCTCGCGAATGAAGAGCGCCCGCTACGCTTCCTGCACATGTGCGGATCCTTCGGCATTTTGGGGGTAGAGGCGCTCGTTACGAGCATTTTTCTTCCGCCGAGTCACGCGACTGCACTTGTCTGGGCCTATTACCAAGCCAGCAAGGGCGTGGGAGGGTTGCGAGCATCATCTGTCATCAGTGCTTGCGAATCAAGAGCGCCCCCTGCACTTCCTGCACATGTGCGGATCCTTCCGCGTTTTGGGGCAGGAAGCGCTTGTTCCGAGCGTTTTTCTTCCGACAGGTCATGCAGCTGCGCTTATCTGGGCCTATTACCAAGCCAGCAAGGGCGTGGGAGGGTTGCGAGCATCATCGGTCATCGGCGCTCGCGAATGAAAGCGCCCGCTGCACTTCCTGCACATGCGCGGATCCTTCCGCGTTTTGGGGGTGGAAGCGCTCGTTCCGAGCGATTTTTTTCTGCCGGGTCACGCGGCTACGCTTGTCTGGGCCTATTACCAAGCCAGCAAGGGCGTGGGAGGGTTGCGAGCATCATCGGTCATCGACGCTCGCGAATGAAGAGCGCCCGCTGCGCTTCCTGCACATGTGCGGATCCCTCCGCGTTTTGGGGGTGGAGGCGTTCGTTCCGAGCGTTTTTCTTCCGCCGGGTCACGTGGCTGCGCTTGTCTGGGCCTATTACCAAGCCAGGAAGGGCGTGGGAGGGTTGCGAGTATCATCGGTTCTCGGCGATCGCGAATGAGAGCGCCTGCTGCGCTTCCGGCACATGTGCGGATCCCTCCGCGTTTTGGGGCTGGAGGCGCTCGTTCCGAGCGTTTTTCTTCCACCGGGTCACTTGGCGGCGCTTGTCTGGGCCTATTACCAAGCTAGCAAGGGCGTGGGAGGGTTGCGAGCATCATCGGTCATCGGCGCTCGCGAATGAAGAGCGCCCGCTGCGATTCCTGCACATGTGCGATTTTCTTTCACCGGGTCACGCGGCTGCGCTTCTCTGGGCCTATTACCAAGCCAGCAAGGGCGTGGGAGGGTTGCGAGTATCATCGGTTCTCGGCGATCGCGAATGAGAGCGCCCGCTGCGCTTCCGGCACATGTGCGGATCCCTCCGCGTTTTGGGGCTGGAGGCGCTCGTTCCGAGCGTTTTTCTTCCACCGGGTCACTCGGCGGCGCTTGTCTGGGCCTATTACCAAGCC